AACACCCAAAGTTGCGTCAAAATTGTCATGAAAAACAAAACTTTGGTGGCTCATAACTTTTTAATCGTTATTTTTTATTTTATTTTGTTTCCGTACCGACAAATGTAATTACAAGATAAAACGTTGTCGTGTTTACTTTTGGAGATACAAATTCACACTGTGGAGTAATACCACCCCGAACTTTCTATGGAAAAAATATCGACTAGTGTAACCTTAAAACTAGGTTTCAGACAATTTAAGTGTACCATACTGGTAAAATACTCACCAGCATAGAGAGTATAGGACGGTCTTAAAGACTTGGCGAGTGACCAGGGCAGGTCAGGTACCACACTGTGGACCACGCATCCATGCTGCAGCAGTGTGATGGAGTACGCAAAGTTCACTCCAGAGTCCTTCAGGTCAGCACTGTCTTCCAGCACCAAGGACGTCGTGGAGTCATCTAGAGGCTGTTTGATTGAAAGAAAGAAACAAGAAAAAAATGGTTTTAATTCCATTATGCTACAAGATTGCTGTCTGCAGCTTTGCCCGTGGTTTTCAAATCTTCATTTATCTTACTTCCTTGAGAATCGATCTACGTACTAATAAGTCAGAACCAAGATTTAAATGAGTAGGTAAAAATATAGGAACCATGATATTTATTATGCTGAGAAAACCACTTACTTTATAAAGATAATGATGGCATATACAGAGGACGCCTTTCTGATCGCAAACAATCTGAAGGTCCAGACTACAGTCGTGCACGCGTAGAGGGATGGGGTCATCCTCGTACGCGCCGCAAGCCGCGCCCTCGCCCGAGCTCGACACGTGAGGTAAACTCAACGGGATGTTCAACTGTCGTGAATAAGTTCTTGTTAATAATGCGTTAAAAGAAATGCGAAAATACTTTTAACTGAGTGGTTGGTTAAGTCACCGCAAGACTGTTGGTGTTACGGTTCGCTGTTTCCATTCCCGTGTAAAACAAAGTATAATTATTATTGTAGTACACCGGCAACACCAGAAGCGGCAAAAGTTTGTTGCCGGCCATGTGGGAAACTGCTTAATTGCACCATCGTTTCGAGCATCATCCCTTCTTCCCAAAAGCGATGACGCAAATACGTTGGGCATCCGAAACTTTCATTTGCCAAAATTAAATAGTACCTAACTATATGTATATAAAGTATAATTACAAAAGTTTAGTTAATTGGCAAAGTGGCTAGTCAGTTACCTAGTTTGAGTATTGGCATTCATTCAGGTTTGTAGGTATTCTTGGTTATTTTAAATGTTTGACGAAAGTTAAACTAAAAATAGAAATAATGATTGGAAGAACAAGTCGCAAGTCGTCACCCATTGTTACTATCGGGTGTCATGCCACCTAGTAACATAATATTATCTAAATATTTATGAATAAATGCAAGACTAATTCCAACCACCTGATGCTGTTTTGTGATACAGTAATAAACCATGTTGAGTTATCAGTAATGTATTGCAATTTTATGTCATGCTTAAAAACCAATTATTTCTGCCCTTTGCACAAAGCTCCAGTTAGATACCTCGTCGAGATCATTAATTAATTTATGTCTTTAGCTAATGGTGCTTAGCTTATTTATCAAAACAGTATAATTAGGTACCTAATTAGTTAATTAAAGTATATATAATACTTACAACAGTCTCGTGCGGTAAGTCGGCGTGAAACTGAAACGCGGATAAGGTCGGTGTCATTTCCGACGGAGATTTCACTTCTTCACCTTCGGCAAAACTCTGCGTTGGCTGCCTATAGTGTATGTAGTACAACACCTGGAAAAAATATACAATTTAGTCCGGGTAAAGTGGCGACTTTTCAAGTAAGTACTTAAATACGACTGCATGATTGGCGCAATGACTATTCTGATTAACTGGCAGCTGAATTTATATAGTGAAAAGTACGTGTTACATTGTACAGTGGCATTAAGTGCCGTAATGTGCACCACTGTCTACCCCTTTGGGGATAATGTGATGCATGATGTTATGAACAGCATATCGCTGTCATGAGTTCGAATCCCACACGGAACAAGACATTGTGCGATTGTATTAATATTTATCTAAATATATACCTAAGTTATTGAGTAGCGGATCAAGCATGCATGGGATCGCGGTCAAGTTCTAAGTTTGGCTAAGGTTTAGATATGTATATGAGCGTTTTCAGCGAGGCCCGTACAAATTACTAGTCTCGCTACGCAGTTATTAACGGTACCTACCTACTCGCACGTGAGTTTCTGTAGTTCTAATTTTATTCCAAAGAAACAAAATATTAATAGGTAAGCACAGCAAGACATGATTGGGTAAAGAAAGCAGATATATCTAAATTTTATTAATAGTTTTATTGGTTAACGACTCTCTCTCACTCAATGTGGTGGTTATTTTCGTTAGAATCTAGGATGTCGCGACAGCCCTGCGGTTTGTGGCGTTAGATCAAAACACGATACCGGTGTCCGCGAGTTCAAATCCGGAAACCAACTGATAGTTTTTCAAGATAATTTTGTAACAAAATATTTCATTTGTAGTCGCAATTACGATTAAAATACTAGCTTTCAAAGTTCATAAAGATCATATTTTAATATTCTTAACATCGTTTTCTTGAATTAATTTTATTGAATTATGTAAAAAAATGTGATTTATTGTGTAAATTACTTTTAATTGCTTACCTGGTTAACACAGTCCCATTGTGCCCATGAGAATACTTTGACAATCTTCTCGGGTTCAGGGTAAATGCCATCAAAACCCCATTTGTCAGTGCCATCATCACATTCATTGAGAAACATGGGGGTCCGGTATATTTTGATACCTAGAAAAATAACCATACATTTTGTAACAGTGACACCCTGGCCCACTGCCAGAGTTGGCTCGAAATCTGTGATTTTATTAGTAAAAAAAGAAATAAAATTAAATGACAGAAATAATCTAATGACTGCAGCATATTTTGTTGATGATTAAGACATAATAATATTGTATTGTAAGTCTGTTATTAGCCAATGATGACCCACATACATCATAATTATTATTTAGTAGATTAATTACTGTGTTACACTTTTTGAGTGATTATTGCATAATCTTATTACTGAGATTGTTTGTTTTATACAATTTCCACATAAAACTACTGATAAAATCGGTCTACCCCAATGGGAGAGAGGTGTGACAATTATGTATGTATGTATGCAAGGCTGAAATTATTAAGATGTTTGGTATTAGGATAGACAAACTAGTATGGTGATTTCATTACAAAAATACAATTATCTCAGTTTTAACCAAACTCGATGGACAAAAGTTAAGTGTTGACTGACAATGTTTATGAGTGTAAGTAAAAGTTTATTAGAGAGTTAGATACTAAAACTTACATTCCAAATGCTTGAACAATAAGAATCTGTCATTCCTTATCCCGGGACTGTACTTTGTGCTTTTCCCGTAAACATATTGAACCATGATTTGCTTGATAGACGGGTCCTCTACAGCTTCAGGTGTCCTGTCACTCTCAGGCAATAAGCAGATCAAATAGGGACAGTATAAAGACTCCTTGTTCTCATCACTTTCATTAGCAAGTTTCTTCACAATGTACACAAGTAATGTATGTGTAGCATTCACAGATGCTTGTATTATATTCAATTTCTCATCGAAAGTGTGTAAAACAATCAATGTTTTGTTCTTATTAGTATATGATCCAACATTTAAAACCTCTTTGCCATCTTTATCTGACACCCAGCTTAGGACTTGCGATCCGTCTTGTTCCTGGCCCAAGAGACGCCATTCTCGTGCAGTTACCTCTGGAAATTTAACAAAACATTAAGAAAAATAGTACAGACTCTGCAAAACATTAATGGCGACATTTCACCTCGACTGTGTCTTGTATATTGACAAAGCTAAGCTGGATTTTACGTTACTCATGTTTGATTATTTTTATTAATAAAGTCTTTTTTACATATATTCATAAGGTTGTGTCGTTTGCTAGTCTCATATAAAGACAATAATTGTGTTTTAAGTTACCTTCTTCGCCCTGCGCTTGTAGCACACCACATAATTTCACTGCTATATTTTGAACCGCCATAATGTTATATGACCGATATTCACTATAAATTCACCTGCTGTTCACATAATACATAAATATGTCACCGTATCGCCACGTTATCAATATCGAAATAGCGCACCTTTATTGACTTTTCTCGCTCATTTTCTATCAGCTGGCGACCAGCTGAGATACAACATGAATTTAGCTGTTTGACAAAATGCCAACAACAAGGACAAACATTGAGTCTATTGGTGTGGTAGCACTGTGGCGCTAGTTGCATTTTTTACCTAATAGACAAGAAGCGTTGGTCTTCAGCCACAGATCCGTTTTACACAACAATTCATAAAGGTGTTTATGGATATTTATCATTTTCTACAATTTTTGCTTTATTTTGTAACTCTAATCAACCTCGTTTGAAAATAAACACAAATCATACACCAAAACACGTTAATGTATAATTTTGAAACTTATTTTTGAAAAGATTTTTGTTTAATCTGCCTAGGACTGGTAAAACCTTCTATAAGTTTGATTACTAGAGCCATAAAAAAATTCATTAACGAGTGAAATAATACATTGATCAAGTAAACAAACATTTATCATTATAAACAAAACGCTCAATTTCTTCATGTAATGGATTACATTTTACAACTGACGTTTCATTTTCAGAAGAAACAAACATGAAGTTAGCTAATAGTTAACTCGCTGGGCATCGAAGTTTTACCGCGACATTTTCGCGCGGAAAGCCGGGCGTTATTGAGCCGTGAAAAGCTGTAAAGTATCATGAAAAATTAAGAATTACAACAATTGTGCAGTTTAATCGTTTATTTAGTGAATATTGTATCATATGTGACCAAAATACAGTGTAATCCATCATAAATGTGTTGAAAGTTCGTGCATCGTATCTCGTATATGTGCAAAGTACGTTTTGTGTAATTTGGATCAATTTGTGAATGATCAGGTATGAAATTGATTAATATTTCATTACTTAATGATATGTCATATCTCTCACAGCCAAATCCTTCAAAAGAAATCGTTAGCTTGTAGGCATAATTAGGTTATAAACCTTTGGTGGGCGATAAGCCAAGCCAATTATACTGTCAACGGTTAAGTTGAATTAGAAGGAAATATTCGTTATAAATAGTTATATTTCAATAATTTATTAGTAATGTGATGATATTGTATCGTCCGTGTGCTATTTTTATCAATTTCCATAAGTGGATGTGCCAAGAAACCCAAGCTTGCGACGTGTCTAATGGCGCTGACGGGAGAATTTCGCGCGCGATTGTGAAGGATTCGTGGCAATTTTTACCGCAGCTGATTCATGTATTTCCACATTTTTATCATTTTAAATCAAAGCTTATGTATTCTCGTGGTGATATAAGCCTCAAATATGTAATTTTTTCTAAAATTATGGCCCATAAACAGCCTCTGAAAAAAATTCTCCCGCCAATCAGCAGGGGGCACGCTGCGGGAACATCCACCTATAAAGGGTGTTTTACGTCCAAATCTTTTATATTAGTGATGTACAATACATTGTAGAGAGCTTGTTATTAAAATAGACTGCAAGAGTTTCATGATAAATTTGGAATTATGCCCTCAATTACGGTTGTCAAGTGACATAACCCTATTTACAAGTTGAACATGACATGCGGTAATTTTAGGATACTAAAACCAAGTTTTGATGACCGATAACAGAATAATGATAATATGTACTAATTCTTGGTTTTGTTGTAGGCTGTGGAGATAAAGTGCCAGTTGAAATAACACAACTACAATGGCACAAACTGGGTAAGTGCAGTGTTATGACTCCTGTGTCAGATACTGACCTTGGTGGTAGGGGTTTGTTTACTTATGGCGTTGTGCATTTATTTCAGTTCCTCTTGTGAATCCAGTGAAAAACGTTTGACCTTGAAAAGAAAAAGAGATTCCACAGACGATGAGGTTTGTACAGTTTCATTTTCCCTGTTTGTTGTTGATAAAACTTGAATGTTACTTAGGTAACACCCTTACTTTGTTGTAGGTAGAGAATATGCCACCGATGAAGATCTCATCGGTACTTGAAGATGAACTCCTTGACCAACCAGCACACAATGTAGTGGTGGAATCTTCATCATGCTCCAGTGATGATGAGAGCTCCCAGTATGGTACTACAGACCAGCCAAGAAGTGTATACACAGACATAGAATACAACCCTGATAGTTTCTTAAGCCCACCTAGTATTTCCGATCTTCCCAATTGTGTGCTTAGTCCACTGGAAAATGTGGCAAGAGGCGAGTCCACACCACACTCAAATAAGAGGCCTAGGTAAGTCTAGTGACATAAATATATCACCGATTCATTAAAACCTAAAATCTTGATAACCAAACCAGTGCACAACTGCTGGTATTGACACAGTAGCCTTGTTTACCTCTCCTTAAAGTAATAAGCAAGGGCTTGCTTGCTTGTGATAATAGATAAGTATGTATGTAAAAAGTTAACTCTCATTTGACCTTCCCAAGTGATGTGTACAGTTATACAAAATGTGCATAATAAGTAGTGTTACATTCAAGTGTATTTGTAACATGTGATATTTTTTGCAGTACCAGTAAAATACCATGCCCAACATTGCCTAAACGCAAGTGCCCTCTACCTGGCTTGTCCTGGGCGGACCCTGAAGATGTGTGGAACAATATGTGTGACTGTGATGCCAGATCTAGTAATAAGAAGAATCCCAACATGTTTGACAATCATCCTAATCTACAACCCAGGATGAGAGCTATTCTGCTAGATTGGTTGAATGAGGTAAGATATATCTTTGTTTACTTAATGACTCATGAAAACTTGAAATTATTATAGTTACTTAATAATTGTGTAATCATTGGCTGTGTGGATCGATTTGGGCTTAAAATAGAATAGTAAATGTCATCATGTAAAGCCCAGTTCTGTGGGGTGTAATGGTGTATGGGTTATCCTCTTAGGTCCCACAGGAGTGGTATTTTTAGAAAATGTCAGGTGTTGTGCAGATTTTAAATTTACAGCCAGACACTATCTTCAGACAGACAAACAGCATTAGCATATTATTATCATTATAATTTGTATAAAAACATTAGTATAAGTTCTGTGTGAATGAGTGTCTGGTTAATGATACTTTTAGGAAAAAATGTAGTAACATTTGAATCCTCTCTATTTTCATGCAGCATTACAGTGGTTTTTGAATAAATTGAGGTAAGATTTTTCAATTGCACATGGTATAAAGTAATGTTGGATATAGGGTCATTGACCTCTTTTTTGCGGTGTTCGTTGACCCCTAAACCAACTCGTTTTGAAGATGTTACCTTCAGCGATTTCCCTTTTATTTTTATCTATAACATTTGTAGATTATTTACGATTGATTATATTGTAGATTAAAAAAATAATTAGGTTTTCAAGGTCGCAAACGCATCAGTAAATCGGCAAATTCGTTGTCGATAAGTGCCATTGACCCCGTGGCGTTTTTAATATTCTAATTGCTTCTCATAGTCTGCCATGCGCTTACCCGGATATTTTAGCTATAATTTTCAGGCTTGCGAATATTATATTTATAGATTAGAAAACGAAGCCAATATTTAATGACCTTCACTTGAAAGCTGTGAAGTTTTTCGAACATCCGGAATGCCGTATTGGCAATACTCGTAGCATTGTAACAGTTTTCATGGAATTTCGATAATAAATCTAGTAATTATCTAATGAGCGTAATTGTTAAAGCAACAATAACATATTTGAATGATTGCACATTGTTTGACCGTACATGGAACTTGAACGTAACAGCTAACGCAAAGCTTTGCTTCTTGTAGATAAGAAGCGTACTATTTATGTGCCAGTTCAGTGCAGGTACTAATTTAATTTGTTGGGAAAGTGGGACACTTCTATTGTAAGCATGTAATGATAAGGTTTCTAAGATTAAATGTACATTAATTTCGTGTGCGTACTATTGATGAGTTGATGGCGTGCTCATCTAACATACGACCACTATTAAATTGTATTTATGTCGTCCCGTAAACTTTAGTCTCAAGATTTTAAGCTCTATTTTTATTCTAGTTCTCTGGCTAGTCTTTTTTTTTTAAGGGGGGAAAATCATCGAATGACTGCTCCCGCCTGGGTGAGGCGGAAGGGAGTGTCAGACTCTTACTGACTAAAAACCAGCTATCCTGTTTGTTATCCTGGCTAGTCTAGAGGCCAGCCAGGATAACAAAACTAACTGCAGTTCTTTGTGTAACGAATAAGTACGAAATCGTGACAATCTAAATGAAAAACGGAGTCCGAATCCTAGATATTGTGATATCGATAATATCATTTTGCCTGTGTTACTTGATTCCTATTGACGTGAAAAGAACAACAGAGTTTAGTACCATAATAGTATCGTAAAAAATTTTGAACAATATAACTATTTGATCAGATTAAGAAAAACATGATCTCTATAAATGTTGTTCTTTTTTTCTCCAAAAACAAATGCACGTAGACTATTGTTCGTGGTACAATTTAACTCTTTTTTCTAATGAACTGTTATTATAAGCTAAAAGGCTAAGCTTGAAACGTGTTTTAAGTGGAATCGGCAAAAAAAATGGGGCTTGGTCATAGGTCAGAGTAGTGTAAAGGCACTCGTAATTGAGTGATATTGATGAATTAAACGAGAATGTCAATAAGTGCTGCACTAGTAAACGATTGCATAAGTTGACATCTATTTCATAATGTTGACGAATTTGCAAATATGTTTACATATTATCGATAATCTTGCCGAATTATTAATCATCATTACATAGCTGCTGCAATGGTTCAAATTCAATTCGTTTTTTATTTTTTTATGTTCTATTTACCGACTTATTTAACACATTGAATGCTAAGGGGGACAATATGGTCCTCAATAGCAAAGGATTTCCCCTCAACAGTTCTGTCAGCAGTCAGCACTCAAGGTTTTGACCTCAACACTTTTCTATCAGCAGCTGTCAAAAGGCATTCAAACTATAGGGAAGTAGTAAACTAAAAATTGGGAAAAAATTAAACATACGTAGTTTGTAGTTCATTAGTAAAAATGTAAATAAATTAGTAACTTAAAATGTTACAAACAAATCAATTTCTTTCGAACTGCGAGTAAATATAACCTAAGGTTAATTGCACTTAGAAGTCAAAATAATGAATTTGAAATAACGCCTCTTCACGCTAAGCCCGATCGATCGGTAACTCTAGGTACATAACTGTAAATTTAACTTGGTAGGTATTGAAGTTTTTGCGCGCATCGTCTGTCTCACAATTATACGATTCACGTGCGTATTTCGGTCGTGTTTTCCTCAATCCTATTCTAAAACATCACAACGAATATCCTTGCATTTCCGGTGTTTGTAAAGGACACTGTTTATCTTAAATGTGAGGTCAGTTCGGTTTCTGTGTGAGAATTGATACGGTTACTTATGGGTGCTCGAGGATTATAACGTAAACTTGTTATATTCGGTCATTAAATCACAGAGGAAAAGATAACATTCCGCTCTTTAGTTACCCTAGGGCAAAGGCAGATGTGCTAATTTTGCGTAACATCCAGTATTCGCCAGATTTGTTACGTAAATGACATGTGAAGAGCCTATTGCTAGTTTACATTAGGCACGATTCCAGATTTCTTTTAACTAACAAAAAGCTTTATAAACTTTGGCCCATATCGCGAACCGAATCTAAGACCCCTCAAAAATAACGGACCACACACCCCACGAGCTAGAATAAAGATATTTATTTCCAATTGTGTTTCTTACGAGCCCAAGTTTTTTATATAAATAAATAATACGAACCAAAGTCGACGTACTTTTTAGTTAGGCCCTACAGCACATGTGTGCGGCCCCCGTTTATTGATTGAGACACATTTAGATAACAGTTTGTTGTTTCGTACCAAAGTTTCAGACGAAACGCCCCGAATTACTGTTATGTCATTTATTTATAGATTTTTTTATATTGTATACGGTTTTTGTTGTAGAAAAAAGAAACTAAGAAGTATTTAGACGTAGTCCTATTATTTGTATTCTCTACTTAGTATTCATAAACACTAAGCTTTTATAACTACTATTTCAATGTCAATTAACTAATTCAAGTGCACATAAAGCTTTTAGTAAGATGCGTCATTTCATTTAATACTAGAAGCAGGAACAGTGTAGTAGACAATTTACCTAATTGATGTCTTAGGCCGAAATTAATCTCGCTTTAGCCATTACAACGTCCGGGAGAGATAACCCCGAGACAAACAATGGAGGATGGCCACTATGGCCAGTAATATGTTAAATGTGTTTTACGATAGGCACGAACTACATTGTTAATGGAGACATGACGTGTGACATTCTAACTGTATTGAAGATTGTTCTACAAGTTAGGGTATCTTGCTTTGAGTAATTCTAGAGATGCCGATGATAAGCGATTGAATTCTGTCTCGAAGAGCAGACATTTCTGATAGGTACACTATCTTCTCGGTATGTTCTTAAATTAAAATTGAAAGATCGTACCCTCCATTAAGCTCAGTTTGTTACGCTAATGGCATCACATAGTAGTCAAAAGATGCCGACCATGTATTAATTGAGCCTAGCTCAATAAAAAAGCGATAGTATTTATTTACTATATAAATATAATTTACTTAGAAACTCAAATATGTTTACCCCAAATACGAATGAATTGTTAAACAGCTGAGCTGTACGTTTGCGTCGTACGTGTACGTCAAGTGTCTTATGTCGCTTTGTATGCTATGTAACGAACAAACATTTACCTTAAAATATTGTTTCTTCTCCAGGTATGTGAAGTATACAAATTGCACAGAGAAACATTTCATCTCACTGTGGATTACGTCGACAGATATCTATCTAACACAGAAGATGTCCAAAAAGGCAGATTGCAGCTTATAGGTAAACAAATCTTACGACTACTATCGACTTAACGAAATTAATTAGGTACTTCTGTGGACAGATCGAGTATTACAAATAACACCTTTTGCTTCCAGGTATAACATGTTTATTTATAGCAGCGAAAGTAGAAGAAGTCTATCCACCCAAAATAGGCGAGTTCGCATACGTGACTGATGGAGCGTGCACCACAGACGAGATACTCCTGGAGGAACTTCTCATCCTGAAGATATTATCGTGGAGCATCACTCCCATCACCATCAACAGCTGGCTGAATGTGTACATGCAGCTCGCCAGCGAGGGCCGCAGTGCCAAGCGACGGCTGCTCGGGGAGAGTGACGTCGGCGCTAACGCGCTCCGAGGATACACCTTCGTGTTCCCGCAGTACTCGTCGCTGGAGTTTGTGATTTGTGGACAATTGATAGACTTGGCAGTGTTACATGTGGACGTGAACCAATTCCCGTACAGTGCCGTCGCTGCAGCGGCCATGGCACACGCGTTCTCCAAAGAATTAGCTATAAGAGTATCTGGTGAGTACAATATTATATCATCATTACATTAGTTATAAACACTATCTACATAATTTTTGTAACAAAATCATATTACATAAATATCAATATTTTTGTGGTATAAGCGTGGGTCGCGTGCGATTCAACACGTTTGTCACTTTTGCTATAAAAGTCATATAACAATGCAAATCTCAATAACCAATAATAGAATGAACCATTCACATGATTTTCAATTAAATAAGGTGTTGTCTTCACGATACAAAAATGGTGACAAGCATATTATTAAATGTCCAGGGTACAGCTGGGAGGAGCTGGAGCCGTGTTGGCGGTGGCTGGCGCCGAGCGTGCGCGTGGTGCGCGGCGAGGGCGCCGTGTGCGTGGTGCGCGGCGGCGACGGCGAGTTCGTGCAGCGCGCCGCCGGCCTCGACCTCATCTGTCCCGACGTCAACCTCGACGAGAGCCACCGCATCCAGTCGCACAACGTCACCCTCGACATGTTTGTGAGTACTACGCTACTACCGCTACAACCAATTAATTAATATTCATACGTCGAACATTCAATAACAGCAATTGTGTGTAGTCTATATTTATGTTGACCTAAAATGGAATGAAAAGTAAATAATTAAAAAAGCAAATTATCTCATTTCTCCACACCTCGCCATTATGTTGTCGATATGATTTATTATGTATTACGAATCGATTATCTAAACCAGTCTAGATAATTTATCAACTGAGCTCGTACAATGCACTGGTTATTATCAATGCTAATGCTGAATTTTTGTTCTGCCAGGATAAAGTGTACCAGATAATGACAGAACAGCAGTCATCGACCCAGGCCGAGACGGCGGCGTCCACGTCGCAGGACAGCGAGCACATATACCCGCCGACGCCGCCGCAGTCCGACCAGAAGAGTCCGAAGACTCCGACGACTAAGACGCCGTCGACGCGCCACTGCACTGGTCTGTCGCCAGTGCCCGAAGTCCGGCGACTGTCCGCCGAGTGATAATACACTTTATATTAAGGTGTGTCTTGTTGTATTCTTTGTTATGTTCTGATACTAGTTTTTTTAAGAGCAGTTGTTGTAATACTCTTTTGATTTGGTACAATTTGACATCCGAAGCAAGCAAAGAGCGAAGCAGCTCCATTTTTTTATTATTGTACTGTTTGCCATTGAGCACGGAAATTTTTAACATCCTTTTGGATAAATTTATCAATTTCTTATGATAAGAGAAAATGTATTCTGACTATAATATGCACACTTGACTCACAACATAGTTGGAAGACTTAAAAGACTTATACATACAGAAGTACATACTGTAAAGTCTATTTTATATGAAGCAAAAGTTATGCTAGAGGACCCCACTACTAATTTTATTAGTATAAAATTGTATGACTATTTAATTCAACTATTCACTAAAGTACATAAAGGCACGCGACTATTAAAATATATCGCGCAGCACTTCAATAAGAAATAGATAATATACTAATAAATTTATATGTCACACTTTAACTGTCATCACACTTGGACCACCAACATTATAGGTTACGGACTTTATTCAACAGAACAAATGGACTTGTGTAGAAACGACTGATATGTCTGTATTTATAAATCGCAATGTAACAAGCCTATCTACACTGGTATCTCCCAATTGTGCATTTGGATTTTATTCTTAATAAGAAATGGCGAGTGTCTAATGTGAGTGCGTGTTTGTTGCTGCTTACTAACATCACTGGGCACTAACGTCGCGGTGTGCGCGTGTCGCTAACACATCAATTGAGGAGATACCCACCACTCATGATGATCCTTCTTTCTTGAACAAAATCTCTTTGAAGTGTGCTGTTGCTTTAGATCTGTCTATGATTTTCGATGTACCATTTGTTTTGAATATGAAAAACAATCACCACGCAGATCTAAAACTACCACTAATGAGTTAGAATTATTTTATAAGTAGCAATTTAAGTTCATATATAAAAATGTTACAAAGAAACCCATGCACTCCACAGATGATTTATTGTAAAATATAATAATAAGTAAAATTCTATCTGTGTATTGCATGGAAGTTTTGAAGTAACAAGAAAAAAAATGTTGCTCACACAACAAATAAAAATGTAAATAATATAATTATTGTTCCTACTTTTGAAAAATTCTAATATATCAATGGTTTTGGACTTAGCTAGCTTAAGCCAATACATGCTGCTTAAACATTCCATGCAATGTATGTTGTCACTCACAACATGTTTAAGTAGAGATAATCCACCGTATTACTTTTAAATGCAATTATAATAATTTTAAACAAGGTTGTGTCTTCTCGTCTTGTAACATCTATTTTATCTACGACAGTTTCCATGTCAGCTGGAAGCACTACTTATAATTTAGTATGGATCAAATATTGCTAGGTAAACCACAAAGAAATATCGACGTGGTCGCATAATATTATATTTTTATGTAAATAAAAATAAGAATGCATTGCAATGAATCATTTTTTCAATCAATACTTTATTCTGAATCTTTAACTAATTGTTAGTTTACTGCTCTATAAGTTTATTTGTCTTTATTTAACAATTGCCGTTTGATTGTGCATTACACACTCACGAGTTACCGAAACAATCATTTTCGTTGTTTTTTTTATATCGTAATTATTATCTTTAGTATCCAAATCAAATTTCAATAACTTATACATAATCTATGTTTAAAAAACTGTTCCCACTTACTAGTGAATTAGATGTATACTTAAGTTCTTGATTTTCTCAACGTTTTGTATATAAATTGATAAAATTTGTAATTTATTTCTTCTAATTGATGATAAAAGAACGCAAAACGTTCTAGAGACTGATAACTAGAGCTTTGAGTCAACTGTTTATTTAATATTGATATAAATTCTTATTGTATGTAAAAACTATATCGCGGCGTATTTTAACCAAAGACTTGTTTCCCTTGGATCGTTTCATTTGGCACACTTAGCGATGACATAGAATTGTGTAAACTGCCCGTGAGTATGTGGAACACTATCCAATGAACTGAATGCATGAAATTCTAACTCTCGAAACAGCTTACTCTTAGACATTAAGTAGGAAAAAATGCTTTATATATATATCGGAAATGATTAGCACGTGTATTATATTTTGCACTGCACCACCATGAACAATATTGTGCCCAATATGCGTTTATTGTGTTTATGGCCAATTTTGACGCCATTACTTATGTGTATCAAGCCCACATGTACTTTATTGCAGTAGTGACTAAATACATACATAATTATTATCATTATACACTACTTTTACATGTTACATATATGTCTGATTTGTATAATTCACTTTGCTTTTCTTTTTAGCCAAATAAACTTTCGAGTGATGGATAAAACTTTTCAATGTTCGATTATTAGTCGATTGTTCGGCAATCAAAGCATACCTGCATGTCTCAAAATAGTATATTTCCATTATTCTATCTCAGTTTATCATCATAAAACAATCACTTAATCTTAGCGACTTGATATCCGACATCGACAATAATGGGACATGTTTTCTCAAAATTAAGACTGTCCTCTGCCCTTACTTTCTTTCACTTCACTCGACGACCCTAACACATAAGAAATCTGTTGTACAAATTGTATTCACCATATTATATGGATTTATTGTATTTTAATGTGTAACGATGTATAGTGTACCTAACTCCAATAGAACCGGGTATTGTTCGTTTTAGAAAATTCAATGTAGAAATAAGTTGAACGATTACGCTTATCCACTAAGGCAATGCTGGCCTTATAAATAAGACTTAGATTTGTTACTTTATATGAGAATAATTTAAAAATTTATATCCTTAGTAGAAAATGATTAGAATTTTTAGATATAAGTTATTTTTATATCAATTTATTGAAGTAATATAAAAGGTACCTAATTGTAAATGGAACTACAATATTGTTTGCCGGACTTCATCGCATGTGATCTCATGTCATGGATAATAAAAGTAAATCAGATGTAATTAGTGCAATACTGCATCAATCACATTTTGTATATACAGTCAATTCAAGGCGAAATAGTATTAATAAATAAATGGTGTTGATTATTTATTTGAAAATGTTTTTATTTCTGTTCACTGTTAAACAGTATTTTTCTTAAAAAATTATACAAATCGAGTATCTTAAAAGTACTCAAACATTAAAATCAAATAACAATTCCTTAATGTAACAAAGGTAAAAAAATCAATCAAAATCTCCATCGGATTACGTATAAAATTCTTACTTGCTAAGGGCGTGGGTCTGCCATTCTGTAAAATAAAAAAGAAAAATCGGTTAGGTCTACAACCGTAATGACATGAATAGTGTGTTCAACCTAAGTACACTAGGTTAAGAAATGAAATGCAAAAAATGATGCATAATAATTAACGTATTAACTTCATGCAATAATCTAACAATGAAGTATAAAAAATACTTGAAAGAACTTACAAATGTATGCTAATCTTTGGTCCGGAGGTAACACTGGATGTGTCCTGTGGGGTTAGAAACACGTACTGACGCTTAGTATTCTTCAATGCGTGATCAATCAACATCTCCATTACTGCCTTCCTGTTCACATTATCCTGTAACAAATAGATTTATGGAAATGCTATAGATAATAATTTATATTTCATAGAAAATGATCTAATTTTCCACTCAGGTACACATAGGTACCAAATTAGATTACTAGGTAACCAAAGATACCAAACTTGTCACCAGAGAGGGTTAGGCTCCAATACAATATAGAGTACTTTTCTGATAGCGACATCTCATTGTGTAATCAGGTTTATGCACATTAGATCATTATGTTAATGGTAATTGTAAGTACATGTACAACCGCAAATGGGACAATATCCTTAAAAAAATTAGTTAAATTCCCATACATTGGACTTCTTTATGCTATCTATCTAATGGAAAACCAAGTCCAATTCAAATTACGTACCATAAAAACGTCGAACTCGTCCATAAAACAGAAGGGCAGGCTGACGCACTCCCAGAGCGCCATGATGAAGGCGACGGTGGAGTAGGAGCGCTCGCCGCCGGACAGCGAGGACGTGCTCGACGCCGCGCGGTTGTTGCCCTCGCGGCCCGAGCACAGGATCTCAAGCGTGTGGCGGGACAGGTCCACTACCAGGTGACCCTGTACGAGTGCATATAATGTATAGCTACAGGGCTATTGGTAAAAAAATCAAATGACTGGGTCAGTCAACTGCTGTACTTTGGGCGTCATCTACATAAAAGGCCATAATGTCTATGTTTTGCAGGCGGATAGGAGATCGAATTTCAAAAGGTTTACCATAGCGCTGCTGCAGAAAGTTCAGAATATCTGTCAAATATACAGTTCATTAGATATCCCTTACAACACCCGTGGGTAGAAACATGTAATCTCTGATGGAGGAGGATTCTCTAAGGGTCGATGATACATCTATATATATAAAAGAAAGTCATGTTAGTTACACTACATATTTATAACTCAAGAACGCCTCAATCGATTTAGATGAAAATTGGCAGGGAGGTAGCTTAGAACCAGGAGACGGACATAGGATACTTTTTATACAATACTTTTTTTTTACTTTTTACCGAACATCACGAATGGGAACGGTGGGAAAATGAGATTGCGCGTACGAAGTCGCGGGAAGAAGCTAGTATCTATTATAATTAATATTAAACGCGCAAATACAGAAAAAATTACACCCATGTAGAATAGATAAACGACATCTTAAAATTAACTCAAAGTAGTATAGTAAAGTAAAGGTTAATACATCTTACTCACCCTGTACCCTCTAACAAGAAGAATTGCTTGAAAAATATGTTCCACTGTCCTCACGACGCTGGTCTGCCGTTTCACACAGTCTCTCAAATGGTGGTCAGTTGTCGGGTTCAACTACGAAAACAATTAATTGTAACGTGATACAATACAAATGACATAACACCCTATGATCACTAAAGAGTTCTAAACTTACCAGTTTAAGACCGAAGTTGTTAGCCAATTGGTGATAACGAGCTCGATAAATCTTAAGTGTAAATTCCATATAAAAGGGACAGAAAACCCTACAGAATTTTGTCATCATATAATCATTCTTTTATAAACTAGGTTTCATAAAACTGACTTCAACTTCCTATATCCCGAGCGTACGGCGCGTTAGCGCGCCTCAAAGAGCCATCAGACCACCACGGATGGCGCCCAATAGGGCTGATGCCGTACGGAGCCGCGGAGAACCTAACGGGTTACCGGGGCTCCGGCTCGAAGTACAGAGGGCCAAGCACGAATAATTATCGCATTCGTATCGTAACAGTATCGAGCGAGTTAAGCGTTCTGATTGGTTGGTTCATTTGAGCCGGCCAATCAGAGCGCTCGATACTATTACTTTACGAATGCGGTAGTTATTCGTGCTTGGCACTCTGAAGTAGGAACGGGGTGGTTTTACTCAGAAAGAGTCTGACACTCCCTCCCGCCTCACCCTGGCGGGAGAAGTCATACGATGATTTCCCCTCCACCATATAAAACCCCTTTTGTTTAATATGGGCTAATTAATATACTAAAACCTTCTCCAAACACTTTTCTGAAAACCGCATCAAAGTCGGTTCCGCCAATCGCAAGATAATCGTTCACAAACATACAAATACAAGGTGTTGTTTTAAAACTGCGTCATTTTCTAGGAGGTAACTCTGCTATCGATTCTAAGACCAAATCAATAAAAAAAATGGTAGGTAAATATTTTTCATTTTTTGTAAATTACGGAAATCCGTAAGTGCGAACTACACGCTGCCGTCTTGTAACTAGTTTTATAACGCGGCTTAACACACACAGACTCAAACACGTAATTGATATTATTCCTAATTCCATAAAACTCCAATAACAAACATTGCTGTCGCTTATTCTAAAATACTGTCGAACTTAAACGATTTATTAACGAAACTTTCTCTTACATTGCACCTTTATGACTTCTGTGATATGCCCCCGAGAAATGCCACGGTTTCAAAACTACACATTGTAAATTACATGTAAGTCAAACTGTATCCTTTTTACAAGTCGGTAAAAAATCCACAGTTATGATTCCGAATAATGAAACAGTCATGTTTTTTCAATATTGCAACATTATCAACTGGTTTGCTGGCACTAGCAGAGGTTCCGATAATACCTTTCAGGTAATTTTCGACTGGCAGAAATCAACTCTACTTAAAAATAAAAGTACAATTACTTACCACGTCAAGAAGTTCCTTCAAATGTTTCAAGGCGTTGCTGGTCTGCTGGTATTTTCGCTTGACGTCGACCAGTCGCTCCGTCACTTCTGCCTCGCTCAGTCCGTCCGCATCACTCCGTATAGACTTCAGTTTCACCTCTAATTTCTTCAACTGATTCGTCACTGTTAATTTGTCCCTAAATAACAAGGAAAGTAGACATTTAAAGATAATTAGGTGCGAAGTTTTTGAAAGCTTAGGACAGGGATGTTCAAACAAAGGCGCGCGGGCCGCATGCTTGTTTTGATGTGGACCGCGACATACATTTAAATCTCAACATCTTCATCTTATATGCAACAGCAATAATAAAATTCAGTGTATGATTTGTATATAAGTTTTATGTGAGTAAAGAATACAATGTTAACTGAAAATATTTGTCTGGCCCTCCAGCTTTTGTAAGAAATTTAATTAGCCCTCGAGGGTATATAGTTTGGACAGCCCTGGCTTAGATAATAGAATGGGGTGATGAAAAAATTGCTACAGTCACTATTCATGAGTTAGAGGCACTGGAATGATTCATAATAACAAAGATCCTATATTAATCCCCCATAAATAAAAAAGAGTCAAACATAGAACCTCCTCCTAAGTACTTCAAGTTGGTTAAAAATATTTTAAATAAATAATTGAATATACATCTTCAGAGTCTGGCAAATAATTGAACAGACTAAATCCAAGTTCAGAGAACTCTCAATCGGCGTACTTGTATTACCTGATAACGCGTGAATATGGCGAAAGCTAAAGATACCTTGCGGTACGCAAAGACCTCCGGGTTGTACCTAGGTAATGCTTTGTTGTTTATGTGGGTGTGATATAAAAACAAATAAATTATTTAACCTAGGATTTGGCATCCTAGGACAGAGTCGTTCAGCAATTTCAATTTTCTTCTTAATGATTGCATATTTCTCCTCGAGGATGACTTCTACTTGCGTCATCTTGATGCTGCCTTCACGCAGACGGTGCTCGAACGACTTCCTCTCCATCACGCCTTGGTCCATCTTCATCTGCTCCTTGTCTATCTCTTCCTAAATAATTTTACAAATAATGAAAATGGATAAATATTTTTTAAATACAGTAACATTTATTCAATTTCTGTCAAAAACTTAGATCGTTTCAGAGCGTTTTAATTAAATTGGTTTGTTTATTTCGGCCGTTAGGCTAATTGTTCCATGCGGAAATAGAACCCGCGACTCATTGCGCAGCAGCCAGTTGCTGAATCACTGCTCTAACAGTGCAGTCAAAATTTGTTAACAGTACATAATACGTACATATACATACACACCATGGGAGACACTATGGAACGCCAATCTTAACAATACAATATTAAAAATCCAGTAAAATTCTTTTACACGCTAGCACCTGCAGAATATTAATATTTGTCATACCCTAGTACTTCTACAAGTAGCATTGACTTCTCCGAGCTGTTTCTTAAGCTTCCTCATGTGCGTGTCATAATCGTCCAACTTCTGTCGATACTCAGCCTCCTTGCTCGCAAACTCGTCCACTTGTCGTTGCAAGCCGGCCATCTTGTCCTTTGATATATTTAACTCGTCCACCTGTTGCAAATGTTTTATGATGAACTCTTGACAATGTCGAGTGAAATGATTTTGTTTTTATATTTTTATAGTCTTAATTTAGGTCAGGTTTTGTTTATTACATAATATTTTTTTTAATTCAAAATGTAGACGAAATAGACCAAGTAAATAGTTACAAAAATCTAACCAATGGTCTTCGAGTACCAAATGAGGTCATAACTAACAAGATTTACTAAATTATTTCTTTATTTATTTTTTAATTACTCTTCTATTCATTGCTTTTCTTTTGCATACTCAAGCCCAGATAATAATAATAATATCAGTCCACCTTATCTAACTACATTTTCAACAAAATGTCACCCAAAACAACACAGCCATTTAATAGAACAAACACATCAGCATGACAAATAAACCCAGTAACTTACGAGCACAGCATGTTGCGGAGCTTGTTGTTGCCCGAGCGCCTCCCTGGCGAGGCGGGCGGCCTCGTCCGCGCGGTGCAGTTCCCCCAGCAAGGCCTGCAGCTTGCGCCCGGCGGCCCGCTCCTGTTCCCGCGCTAGCTTCGCCTGTTGGCTCCGCTCAGCGGCTTCAGACTCCAGAACTTGCAACGTCGCTTCTTTATCTTTTATGTCGCTTACCATTTGCCTGTGGAAGTAGTGTCGTTTTTGAAGTTTTGTACCGAAAAGGCTGTGTATTAAGTAAAGTATAAATAAAAACCGATTTCGATAATAATAACGTTAGGAGTAAAATGTAACTGGCCTGTTTTTCAGATTCCGTGCTACTGCTGAGAATTATCAATAACCGAAAAAGCTAATAATAGATTGTTATAACGAAAATGGATTAAAATTGCCCCGCGTCCTATAAGGAAGTGGGACATACCTCAAAAAAAAAGGTAAAATCTCGGGAAAGGTGACATTGGTACTTGCCGTTGGTGGCTTGCCGAGTGCTCGTAAGTGCGACTGCTGGGCAAGAGGTCTCGGGTTCGATTCCCGGGTCGGGCTAAGTATTACTGGGTTTTTAAAAATCAGTAGTAGCACGGAGCCTGGAAATGAGCCCGGTATATGGCAATAGGTTCATCCCCTATTACACTCAATATATAAATAGTGAAAAGTGGGTGTTACATTGTACAGTGGCATTAAGTGCCGTAATGTGCACCTCTGCCTACCCCTTTGGGGACAAACGGCGTGATGTTATGTTATGTTGGATGAGAAGCGGGCGACCTCCTCCGGGCCATCACAACCACAACTCAAGCCCTACACATAATTATACAAACGTAAAGAAGTGACTTACTTTTTCCTCTCTGCAGTGCTGAGATGTAGGTAGCGACTCTGCTTGCCGGAACCACCGTAGCTCCTGTAGTTTGGTGCGGGGTGGTACTCCGTGGAGTCCAGGGTCACTATCTTCGAGCAGTTCTCCGGAACATTGGCCTCATTGTCCGCCAAACTAACTGCATTCTCTGGCAAGTTTGTTTATGTTTAGTAGTGAGTTTTGAAATTATTTTCAAGGATTAGGAGGCAAACGAGTACACGGATCACCTGATGGTAAGCGATCAGCGCCGCCCATGGACACTCGAGAGACCAGAAGAGTCACAGGTGCGTAGTCAGCCTTTTAAAAAAGAATTCGCTGTTTTTTTTTTGAAGTTTTGAATCGTCGTATCGGTTCAGATATACCACCGACGACAGATCATTCCAGTTTTGCTGTGCAGAGCAGAAAGCTAGGAGAGACGCTCACAGTTGTGGCCTGCCAATCATCTATATGATGGGGATAGATATGTGAGGGTGAGGGTCGATGGCGAAAAGACGCGCCAGGTATCAGATCAAACAATTCCTCAGAGCACTCCCCGTGCTATAAGCGATAAAGATGTACAATAAAGTAACATCTCTAAGTATTGCCGAGTGCCTAGACGTTTGAAATATCCCGACATCCAACAATCCGAACGGCACGCCGCTGAACGCGAACCAGAGGAAGAAGCTGATACTTGAGTCCAAAAAAGGATCGCATCCCATCCCAGTCTGCCGACCTATAGAGAGATCATACACGGCGACCGCGTCCAAGACACAGAGCTTCGGACGAGGCAATGATCCGATGAGCCAAGAGGGGCATCGACGGTTACGCAGTAGTGCAGTAGCCGTCCGGGTTAGAGGTCAGCAGAAAATCCAACAGTGAAGATCTCTGGCCCCCTACATCTGTGATTCGCGTGGGCGCGGTAACCAATTGTGCCAGAAGCAACAAAAGCACTTGTGAATCCTACGCACTGGTGCTTCGTGTTTTCATCATGGGTGCCGGTGTTTACCATCAGGTGCACCTGTCTGCTCGTTTTCGGTCGCTCGTCTATCGTATAAAACACTTACCGTGATCAGGTACAAGCAGCACACTTTCACATCCGATGTTATCAATGAGGAAGTTAGAAATGACGGGGTCGGCCACGTCCAACGTGTCCAGCGCGGATCGGAAGTTGCCCGCGTGCACGCGCCTGCCTCGTACATCGTGCACGCGGTTCAGGAACCTACTGCACGTCACACCCGGCTTGGGCCGGGAGCCATATACCTATTAGGATGTGGAATACATAATTATAATAGACGTGCGTCTGATGTTATTATTGTTATCAAACGGTTTTATTTAGCTGGCCCCCGTTTGTTTGAGTCATGTTCAGACCACAATAGAGATAGAAGTTGGTGCCACGTGCCAAAAACAAAATATTACTTACTAATACTAAATACATCGTAATACCTGCCTAAGTTGTCATAAATAGTTTTGTTCAGTGGTCTTAGTACGAGTTTCTTTTACGTTTAAAGTAATCGTAACGAGTACGCTTTCAGCGCTGTGATTGGTTGCTTTATTGGTACCGGCCAATCAGAGTGCCGAACGCATACTCGTTTCGAATACTTTAAACGTAAATCAAAGTCCTAAGGCCTCAAGACTTGGGGCACCAACTATTTAACTTTCAGTACCTACATTCAAGACCAACTTTTAGTGGGTCTTGTGGGTAGGTACTGAGTATAATGAATAGTAATAATTTTTTGGTTTATGAAATCGGTAATTTTAAACGTAGTTATATCAAAGTTCCAAAACAGAAACTTTAAAAAAACTTTGCTTTTTAAACCATTTCATTACTTCATGAAATACAAATTCATTTATCGACTCATAATGCAGACATAGATGAACACGTAATACAAAGAGTCAATTCATTACTAAAAACAGGTAAAGGTAAGTAAAATCAACTATAGAAGAATTGACTTATCAGTTATTAGCGACAATAAGAAAAAGTAACGATTATGATATCTACAATTTAATACCTAAGGTACTTTCTAATAATCAATCGTTAAGTAATCTAGATAAGTTCGTTATCTAGATATACCTATTGTATAAAATATTAGGCATAAAAATGTAACATGGAACATATTCCTGATAAATTTACAATTTATTGTGTTAGTGTACTGACCTGTTCCATTATTTGAAAGAGTTTCCTCATATCATCAGGCGTGTTGACACAGAAAGACTGAATGCTTCCTCCGATGATGTGCTCCAGGGCACCGCCCCATTTCTTCTCTTTCACTTTTAGATATGCACCTATGGAGAAAGAGCGATTAGTCTACAATCTGACTCAATATTTTTCTAGTATTTTGAGGCAAAGAAGAATTAAAGGACTCTTCATCTCTAAATACAACGAGACAGAGAGAGAGAGAAGGAGCAAGACATGGACAATAAGAACGAGAGGGAGTTAGAGGAAATGTCAGAATATAATTTATCATCAGACAGATGATCATGATGAGAAAGTCGAACAAAATTCTGTTTAGCACAATTTTTACGCACAATGTTTTAATTTAATCTACATGATACACACCGACGGGTCCCCTGGGTTTCTGCGAGAACTGTCCCTTGGCGGCGGCGGCGTTGACTCTCTGCACCAGCTCCACCATGTTGGGTCCGTACACTGCCAGCGAGTCATTGCCGCTAGACTCTAGCTCGCGGAGCTGTTGCCTCAATTGTTCTGTCACAATTATACATCTTGTTAAGGTGACTTTGAAGTCACTTGATATATCGTACCGAAAATCTTCAAAATTTGTTTATACAAACGTAGTCTTTGAACACCGGAAATAAGGTCTATAATGTAGTTAGTGGAGAGCGGCCACCGGTGACCGCTTGGGGACTGATCAGTGAGACTGTATATGAAATTGCGAATTTGTAACACTAAGAAAAACTCCATATTATAGATACTATTAATGAGTAGCTAATAAAGAGTATATTATTAACACATTATTAAGTATTGTTAACGCAATTTATTATTTTTCTAAAGAAGATTGTTGTTTCTAGTCAACCCTAATAAAGATGGAGTAAAAGTTACAAGACAATTGCCAAGACATAGCAAAGTTTTCTCTGCAAGTCAATACCAACATTTAAAGACACGTTTAGCATTTTATGAAGAAGTTAAGCTCGAAAAGTATCAAATACAAAGTTCAATGCTCTTCATGTAGTAACCATGAGCAATACTAACGTAGCGTGGAGCGCTGTCGCTGCGCGCGCTGGTCGGCCTGTTCCGCCAGTGCCAGTTCGTGCGCGGCGTGGTCGCGTGCCTGCGCGGCCTCGTGCTGCGCGGTGTCGTACCGCGCGCGCGTCGCCGCCGCGGCCTGCGTCGCGCGCTCCGCTGTACTCTCCAGCTCCGCGCGACGGGATTCCGCCACACCAGAACTGAGAATAACATTGTTTTAAGAGTGAACATTATTAATTGACTCCTCCCACCCTAGGTTGTCAAACTCTGACTGACACAAAACGACCCCGTTCCTACTCTTGCTTCGAACTAGTGCACTGGTAATTCCTGCATAACATAACATCATTTGGTAAACCCCTGAAGAGTATGTGGTACGCATATCCATTGTAAGACCCTCTTTTGACCAGTTTTGAGTGCCATGGTTCATGGCAAACCCTAATACAACCAAGTTTGGAGTCAATAACCAGGAAATAACAGCAGAAATCACTAACAAAAATGATTAAGAATTTACAAAAACCTAAAAATCCTATCAATATTGTTAGGTATGCGCATTCTGTAATGAAAAAACCTAATCTTTATTGTTCGAGGAAAAAATCATTTATTTCAATTAGACCAGGAAGGCACTTTGAATATCAACAAGCAAATATTAAAAATATCAGTCTGTCGGTCAGTCCTCGGTTCGTTCCAAAGTGTAGATTCCTATGGAGAAGAACGAGCAAAAAACTCCATAGGTTACTCATTTACTCCTTTTCAATCAGATTCACAAGCCTATTCGTGGTTACATTGTTTATTGGTTTCAATTATGTGAGAACAATGTATTGAATTTAAATGGTATTTAAAATAATCTATTTGCACCTAACAGATAATAATATCTACGAGTACACGATAGGGATATCCTCACTCCAGTCAGTCGATAGCATAAGGTCCTAACACACGTAACAAGCAATGCGATACGGGGATTTTTTTGCTTTAGAAACAATACAATAAGGTTGTAAGCGCACGGCGCTCTATCGGCGCGCTTACAGCTTTATGTATTTAAGTTATGAAATATATCATACGACATACCATTTCAAATTCGTATTTAAATGACAAGTTAATTGCTGGGTTGGAGACGCGCTGGCTAAGTGTGACCTTTATATACCTAAATAGTAATAGTGTGTATTTTTTATATAAGGGGGAATATCATCGAATGACTGCTCCCGCCTGGGTGAGGCGGGAGGGAGTGTCAGACTCTTACTGACTAAAAACCACCCCGTTCCTTCTCCTGCACGTCGAGCCGGAGCCCCGGTAACCCGTTAGGTAGTTATAGTGTGTATAGCGTCCGGTGTCTAACATTAGCCACACGCTTCGCTTTCTTCTCCATGGTTGTCGTGAGAAACTAAGGGTCTAAATATTTAACAGAGGAAGCAGGATTCTTTGATGAACTTCATCCTTCTAAACTGCTATCTCTTACCCGCCTGAGAAGCGTGGTGATTATGGCTAACCCCTCTTTTGTAGAGGAGTCTCATATTCCGGCGGTAGACTCCTACGGGCTATGGATAATGATGGTGATAAGTGATAATGGTTATTTAGTTGTTTGTGTAACTTACTCGATATTTTGTATCTCCCGCTCCAAGTCCGCAATTTTCCTTTTCTCTCTATTCAGGGAGTCGGTGTATTTAGAAGCGTTGTTTTGTGAAGTTCTAATGGAAGTCTGCACGCTATTCACCTCTGATTCTAGTTTACGAAGCTGTTCTTCAAGCGTAGCTTTCTCTGCAGATTTTTCGTTCAGAAGATTTTTCAGCTCACTAAAGAAATATCAATGAGAAAGAAAGAAACTAAGATTATTTGTGCCAAAAATGTCTTTCACATAAATAAGTAAACAAAGACTTCCCGGGTCGAGCAAAGTATTAATAGGTTTTTTAAAATTCTCTGTAGTAGTACGGAGTCTAGAATTGTGCCCGGTATATGGCAATAAGCTCACCGCCTATTACATGGGACTCATAACATAAATAGTGAAAAGTGGGTGTTACATTGTATAATGGCATAATGTACACCTCTGCCTACCCCTAACGGCGTTAAAGGCGTGATATTATGTTATGTAAGTAAACAAAGTTGTTTGTCTGATCGCAATAATTTCAAAAACTACTAAACAAATATTAACATAAAATAACATCACGCCTTTTATCCCCATAGGGGTAGTTACGTAACGTAACATCTGCTACGTTAACAAAAAAAAATTTTAATGTGATTTTTAACATAAACAAATTAATATTGCAGTCGAAGAGGGGTGTGGAAAGCTAGTAGGTATAACAATCAACATTATGAAGTTATAAGTACCACAAAATAGATACAGATACATTATCTAAAAACAAGAGCATAAAATGTTTATGTAAAGCACTTACTCTATAGCACTAGTGTTACTGCCATAGTTCTGTTCCATACTATTGAGTTTCTCCCTCAGTTCGTCCATCTTGGCCTTCTGTTTGTCACACTGTTCCTGTATCTTTCTTGCTTCTCTTTCTAACTCTACTACTTCGCTCCAGTAAAATTCGTTCTGGAGAGTTTTTGACAGTGCTGTGATCTCTTCTCGGGATTTCCACTGATCCAACTGAGCCTGTCTCTTCTTGTACTCTTCTTCTAATTCCGCACATGCCTAAAACATTTTGTTGTGAATAGACCTATGGTGATAGAGTCTAGCTGTTTTATGCAACTTAAATGGGTGGACTCAACAGTGAAAGACTCTCTCACTCACAAACTGAAGAGAAACTAACTAACAACTATTTTGTGTTACTACACAGTGAATTCTGGATACCCAACCTGCTATTTCACTGCATTATCTATTGTTACCTACTCATGTAGTAATGCAAGAGGAGGTTCAATAGGCAAAAATTTACATAAAATGGCTACTTACTTCAAGTTTTCTCTTCGACACTGCTTTAGCCCTGTTACAGTTTCCCAAAGCTATTTTATAATTATTTTCTGTAATTTCAAGATTAGTGGCTTTACGAAATAATGCAAATTTTTTCTTCGCATCCGATGCATGGAAACTTCTTGCATCATCCTGGTTTAGAACAGATATTGGGTTGTCTACTTGTATGTCATGGGCAAGAGTTATTGCATTCACATCGTCATATTTCGTTGAAATTATTTCACCTAGAAAAAAAAATATGAATGAATATGGGTGTGGCTTAACCTGTGGTATGCCAGAACGTAATTTAGATACTCACGAGGTTAATTAAACTCAAAACTGATACCTAAAATTAGATATATGGTAGGTATATTATGGAATTTTACATCCTTACTAATATTATAAATCGGAAAGTAAATTTGTTTCTTTGTTCCGCTTTTACGCCGTAACTACTAAACCATTGCTTTGAATTTTTGCAGACGCAAAGTTAGAAGTCCGGATTAAATAATAGGGTACTTTTTATCCCGTAAAAATTAATATTCCCGAGGGAAAACAAAAGTATTGGTATAGATGGCGCTGTATGTATTGGTATATGTTACATAGGCTACTTTTTATCCTTTTGTGACGCGGGTGAAGCCGCGGGTAAAAGCTAGTATACCATAAGTATGGATCAATTATGTCAGTACAGTCTGAATCAGAATGAAATATTACAATATACAGTCACTTCTAATACTCTACTAAGACCTGTAATAGTTTGGAAACAGCTTGTTTTCTGATTTACTTATAAACATAACACATTGACACACATAAGTTAGTAAACAAACTTTTACAAAGCCTCTGTATGCAAAAAAATATAATTGAATGAGTACATACCAGAAGCTGACTTAATCTTATAACTGGAACCACCCGAAGCATTGATATGTCTCACAATAGTGATGTAGTCACCATAGATGTGGTGTTTGTATGCTTGCGGACTGTTGTTCTTTATTTTAATCTCAATTGTGGCTGAGTTTGCACCCTTCTTAATAAATGCTGTAAAATAAAGTAGTTATTATTACATATTTAATACATTTTTAAACTGGTCACAGACATGTTTGTTTGCTACAAGCATGGAAAATACCAAAATAGTTTTGTTTTGGGATAGAAGTTTTTTGCTGTCGAAGCTGAAGCTAAACAGGAGAATTGTACGTCCAAAATAATTACCTATTATTGAAAGAAAAACACTGGAATACAGGACAAAAAATACAGGAATAAACAAATACTGACTAATGACTGTTGATGAAGCGAAAGAGGTATGTTAGAATCACAGCAATTGGCGCTCTATAGTCTCTGCCTACCCCATGGGAGACAGGTGTGAAGATATGTATGTGTATGAAAATAACGTGGAATAATAAGAATATGAACTTGATAAAACTTACAGCGGAGATTGCTCCCACGGTTTGTATCGGACGCTCTTCCACCCAAGCCCACCACTAAGGCAGTTAAGATCGCACTTTTGCCACTCCCATTACGACCCACAATAAAATTAACGTTTTTGTTCAAATTAACTTCCAAATTATCGTGACAAAAAAAGTTACGAACATGAATACTAACTATTGAACCATCTGTATCTACCGTTTCAGAAGTATCTGTGTCCATTTTGATGGAATTTTATACTGCCAGTGCAGTTTATCAAGACTCTTACATTAAAATTAGTTTGACAACCTTTTTAACAATGTTTGAGCGCGCCGACTTTTGATAAGAAACATGAAGCGAAAATAATTATGTTTGGTATGTTTCTGTCAAAATGACACTGACACCAACAATTTATGTTGCTGTCATTTCATTGATGACATCTCACATTAGAGGTAGTGAGACTATTTTTTCTCCAAACAAATTGGTAGTTATTTAGTAAGTGGAATTTAGAATGCGAATATTATTGTTTTCACCAAAAGGATTTCAGTTTAAACATATAAAATGCATGAACTGTAATGGAATTAATTCGAATGCCTAAATGCCTACGTTAATGTTTATTGTTAATAAAACTTTAACGGTTTGAAATGTGACCGTAGCGCCATCAAGCTTTAGGCTTTTTTCTACCCCAGTATTTAAATGAAATTATGATTATTATACATCTTCAGATGTATAATTTAATTTTTTCACGTAATTTTTTTTGTCATATCAAAATTAATTGGTATTGGTAGAATTTATAATTCTAATACATTGCAACATTTTTTGAAAACGCCATTTTTTACGTTACGAAAATCACGAGAATTTGCGATTTGTTGTTAATTTTAACGAAATAATCGATTGAGGTGATTTCTTGATATTAATATTGCTGTAATAATACTTAGATGTGCAAAACTTTCACGTAAATACTAACTTGAAGATCAATACCAAGGTAAACAACTTTCCTTTGAATGAACGTTACCTATTGAATTACCTTACGAATTTATTGTTTTTTATGATGAACCATGTGTTTCTCCTATAATTTATATTGTTGTGAATTTAGAGGACAATTCAGTTGCTTATGTTCACTTGGCACCTAAATCTGAATTCAATTTGATGTCGATTTACGTTGTTGTACACCCAGTTCTGTTTTTAATTAGAGGGTAAACAAAACAGTTTGCGCTAACAATAATCGCCTAGTAGGTTAGATGCTCTGATAACCCGATAGCGAACTAGAGTACATTCTAGATTCTATTCATTTATGCAATATGTACTGATAATTAAAGATACCTTCCTTTTTGCAGTAACCAAAATGAGTGATTCTCCTGATCAACCTGAGCCCCCAAAGGACGTAAGTACAATATTTTAACATTAGTTACCTATTCGTATTGCAATTGTGCGTAAAATATAAACAAAGACATCAATCATACACTAGTTGATATTTTTTGCATAATCATCAATCACAAAATGTGTAGGTACCTAAAACCCGTATAATATCAATGATAAAATGTTATATACATATAACTGCATTTTACGAAAAAATATAATGATCAAAGGAGGAAGTTGATAAAATTTTAAACAAATAACCACATGTCACTGTTTCTGACAGTTAAAATTTATTTATTTTATTATCTATTATTCTAATTAAAATGAGTAGTAGTAATTAAAGAAATCTGCTGCCTTATGATCACCTGACAAAATTATGTTATATCATACCCAATTTAATATGTATAGAAGTTACGATATGATGTATTTAATTAATAGTTGTTGGATTCAAATCTTGTTTAACGACACTCTTTAATTCAAAGCATGATCTACAAAATAGTAAAGAAAGAAATCATTTATTTCATTCAGAAAGCGAAATAAAAACTCACTTTCCTTAAAAAAGACTGGTGAATTATCTTAGTCTTTTATTCACAAGATCACCATTACATAAAACACTAGGACACCTTACTATCTATTGTACATTTATAGTAACCTATTAGTAGTCATATTATAGTAGGGCTACTATCTGTACAGATAAATAAAATTGGAGTGTCTGTTTGTAATTAAAATAATCACTTTTTATTACATTCATATGAATATACATTATGTATATACATTATGTATATACTTACGATATACATACCAAAATAACATGTATACTATATAAAATAAATGTTATTTTTGTGGTCCGACCATTCCAGAGAACCAGTGCTAATCCCTGGAAAGGTTGGACCGATTTTGCAAGACTTTTATTGGCCGGTAGCTGATGTAAGAAAGAGTAACATAGGTTACTTCAGTTTTGGTAAATATAAATATAGTAACAAATAAATTAGGCAGATGTACCAACACTGCCTAATTTATTGACAAATTTACATGTTCTACAACTAAAACAGACTCTAATAATGAATTTAAGCAATATGAGTTGAAACTTGTTGAAATTGTGTTACAGCCAAAGGAGTTGGAAAAATTAGAGGAAGCAAAGTTAAAGGCGAAGTTCCCTAATGCCATGCTTGGAAGAGGACCGGGAGGCCACTCTGCATTCCTACAGAAGAGGCTAGCTAAGGGGGTCAGTATTCATAACACAACTCTTATTCTATGAAACTTTCTTTTCAACAACCTTAACTAATGATGTGAAATTATAATTTCAGCAAAAGTACTTCGATTCTGGAGATTACCAAATGGCTAAACAGCGGCCAGGCAACTTGGCTCAACCATTCAAGGCTCCTGCTGCTCCTGCTAAGCTACCAACTGGTGATGCCATCCCCACTCCTGAAACCGTCCCGCTGCGCAAGACATCCATCATCCAGCCCAAGTTCCAGGCGCCCAGCCAGACTTCCTAGCCCACAGTGTCCGTTGTTGACATTAGGCCGTGTCACTAACTAATATTCCAGAAGGCCTGTACAATGTTTTCTTCTACAATCATTATAAACATGGCTTCACTGAGTAAATAGAATGCAAGTGACTGTTTGCACATTCCCAGTCCAGCTTCTTATTATATGAGCATTATTATCATTTATTTGCATGCATTGTTTTTCTAGTGAGGCCTAGAACAGATCTATAAAATGTATGAGATAGATATAATGATTGCAGTACATCACATTTTAATCACATACATTTTATTTGTTTCTATTAATCTGTCAAACACCAAGCGGTCACCGGTGACCGCGACCTATTGTTCTTTAATTGTGTCTATAAAACCGGTACTCGACGAGTTAATAATCTTGTAGAAAGTCATTGTATATTAGGGCACATTTTTGTTTTTGCAAGTAACGCGTCGCACTTGGCATCGCTTTTATTTTTATATAAATATTTACCTAAGTCGCATTAATTCATTTCTCATCACATAACATTTTTCTTAGCACCTTGATTGATAGTTAATTATCTACATTGTGATTCGTAATTAGTCTGTGTTGAAATTTAAACAAAACTTTTATAAGAACAGCTGTTATATTGATGTATAATAAAATTAATAAATTAGTTATAATGTTGTGTGTTAAGGATACGTGTGAATTAGGTATGTTCTAATGATATTGTCATATTCTTGTTCACCTCCAGCCATGTGCCAGTGGTTAAGTAAATGTCGTCACTTGCCAAACATGCCTGTAAACGGGTGTTGTTTGTGGTATACTACTCATGCTTCACGTTGCATTCATTTTAACATGACGCATACACATGTTTACCGAACTTTTTGACTTCTGTGAAAGTGACGATTGCATGGTCTTGCCCAAAGTATTTGCGAGGTCTATTGTATCCCAATTAAAAAATGTTATAATAATAACTTTCATAAAATATTTATTCTAAATGGTCCAGTGATAAGTAATGAAATATGGCGGACATATAAAATAACATCAGATGCAGCACAACTGGCTATGTTAATTTTATTGCGTAAAATTATTCCAGCTAATATTAGTACAAGTAGTTCAATGTTAGATTGGTTGAATCTTTGTTCTATGGCCAGATATAGATATGTTCTTTTAGATATAAACATTTGCTGTAGAATGTATTGTCATCACTTTTTAAAAACCAGTAATGTACATAATATGTGTCAGTTAAAACAAAAAAATATCCTTTAGAAATAGATGAATCATGTTATATCAATATATTCCCATAATTATGTATCCAGTAATATTTCAATGTGATGGCAGTAGAGACTGTATATATGCCATAGTACTGAGTAAATAAGAGGGTAAAATACATGAATAAGGATTAAAATAAGACAATGGACTTGAGATCTGCTCTCTAGTGCGCTGAACACAAGACATGAGCGTAGACTAGAAACCATTTGGGCAAGTGTTTTATTTTTATACATACATGTAGCTCATTTGCGCGATTATTGAATGTGTTTAGTACATTTTAGGAGCCTAGATATTATGTAGTTTACTTTACCAGAAGGTAATGCTTGCACTGCTAAGCTCCTAGAATGCGCCTAAACTTCACGTTGTGATTGTCGTCGGCAGTCTCTTAGTTTCATGTTTTACTCACGTAATATTGATGTTCGTCTATAAAATAGATTGTTAAGCAGTCTGTATTGCGTGTCAATAACCGGGACGTACAAACCACATGTGTAACGTTCGCACGAGAGTGATAAGTGAATGGTATGGATTAAGGGAATGTTGAAAAGATAGCTACTATTAAATATAAAATAAATTCTTGGTAAAAAAGCGGACTTTTATTCAGACTGTGCGTGTTTTAGGTAATAATGCTTATACCATGGCATCAAAACATAACATATTCGAGTAAACAATGTTAACAAAATGAGATTAAAAGAATACAATAATAAATGGCACTTGTTAAAACAAAAAACTTAAATTATTATCAACCGAGGGTACATCATCATAACACCACTTGACATCTCCTTTGGAATTCCTTTCACAGTGCGTTCAATCCAGTCCTGTTAACATAATTATGTTCCATCTTCATCTATCCAGCAGTGTTATATCTGACTACTCTCTGAAAAAGAAAAATAAGTTTGTATTACAATACTGTTTTTTTAGGGGAAGGTCCACCCTGATCCTACTACTACTCTCGCGCTATAGCCCCGGCAAGCCGTTACATCCCCCATGGCTCGCAATGTTACAGTAGAATACTCATCCTATATTGTAGTATAGATATATTACACTGTAAGCAGTAAAAGATTTATTAAGTTTTTATTGAAATATACCTACTATGTAAGCAACTATTTACCTGGATTCCAATGCACATAGTCTGGCGTGGCTGCAGCCTGGTACTCCTGTACGAGGTCGTCGACAACTCCACGAGATTCATCAAACTCCTCCAAAGAGTCTTTGAACATCGGCTCCTTGCGAAACACCTCCAAGAAAGCTTCGCGCTTGCGTAGCTTATCAAACTGTTGTAGACATCTGTCAAACAACTGAAAAAAAAATTGAATGTGTAAGTAAATAACTTTGATAATAAGTATTAAAGAAAGGCTAAATAAAAAATAGCCTTAACTGATGAGCATACATGAAAAGACTGATGACTGTTAATGAAGCAAAAGAGGTATGTAAGAATCTTAGCAATTGGCGTTCCATAGTCTCTGCCTACCGGTATGGTAAACAGGCGAGAGATTATGTATGTAAATAATTAAGCCTTTGATTAGATATTAGTAAAATAAATAATGCGTTATTTATTTACAACATCTCTTGTGGGTCTTGTATTTTATTGGTAGAGTGTACTTCTACAAGCAAGGGTCTCTGGTTTGATTTTGGAACAGGGCAAAAAACTATTGGGTTTCGATTTTATCAATTCTCTATAATAACAATGAAGGCGAATAGGCTCGACTCATCGTTTGATGAAAAGGGATTCTTATCAGTGTTTAACCTTTTCGCCGCCAACAACTTCTATAGAAGTTCAGGATTTTCGTGCCGTCCACGCCACTACTTCTATAGAAGTTCATTGTATCTACCTACTATAAAAAATACATTTACGATACATAAAACATTTGTTTCTTTGTAATTTTGTAATATGGACACGACGAACTATTTTTTCTCATGCAAAACAGACTATTTTCTGTTTTAAAAAGGTAAAACATAAAAGGTTTCAAATAATTTTATATCCCGCACGCCAACGACTTCATATCAAGTAGGCCAGTGATGTGACGCGTAAGGAGCATTCATTAGAATCTTTATTTACTATAATATTTGTTTTCTTTTCCAATAGTTTTTTGAATTCTATGAATAAAAAGAAATTCCGGTCAGAGTAAATAACGTATTACAATGCGTTTCAAAATTAATGTACATCTACCTATCAAATCATTTCATTAAAATTAATTATTATGTACTGAGGGTTTTCGATATTGCTAGACCCATCTCTACGTAATGGCAAGATGTCGAGTGACACTAGCGCCGTCAACTTCAATAGAAGTAAACCTGTGACGTCGTAAGCGCTTAGGCGTCAAGGTCATTGTGTCATAGTTCCGGGCGACGCGTGCACGCACATTTTTCTTTCCCAGTGCAGTGCAAAATGACCGAATATGATTCGGATGAGTTGTTGCGGCTGTTACAAGGTGTGGAACCTGATTCCGACTTTGATGTTGAATGGATGAAAATCGCTACTGCGCATCCCCCCTACTTTCGTCCAGCGCTCATAATTAATCGCACGGCCTATACCTATAATTATTTTCATGATTATGAAATATCCAAATGATTGAGTCATTTTGATTCGATTACAAACTGTTTGGGTCGCGAAAAATTTGTGATCGACTCAGGTCTATATTTGTTCGCCGACACAGCTAAAAGTTTGCGAAACCGAGAGCCGCAACGAATAGGTATTTTATGACTACCTAATATCCATCAAACGTGCCAGTTTATTTTAAATGTAAACTAAAACCAAAAGCAAACCAAACTCGATAGAAAGAAAGAAAAGCATAGACAACTATTCCTTACGAAATGTATCGTGCTTTGAACGCCAATGACTTGATATGAAGTAAACAGACTACGTTATGAAATGAATAGTGAAGTGGCTAATGTTACGAATTATTATTATTATCTCTAGCAACTCTATGCATGTATCTTCATCTCTGATAACGGATACCCATTTTTCTTAGTATAAATGTTCATAAAATAAAACAAATTACCATTATAACTTAACAGTTTGTATTTTTAATTGTAAATTTGAGTACCAATTTAAATTTACACATATTTTTTTTCATTATCGACATGATGTTACCGCCATCCCTACTTTCGTACTATACATTTATTATACATTTATACGTTGGCGTACGGCGACACATCGTGTTTAGTATAGCTGGGCGGCGAAAAGGTTAAACAATAATAGAATAGAAACTTACTGATGATATATTGGTGTGATTGGCAAGTAGGAGCCCTGAAACTTTGTGTGAGGCGTGCACGTAGGGCGACCGGCGCGACAGTGCAACTTGTATGGATGCAGGACCCCAGGGGATAAATGAGGCTAGTTTTCGTTCCCGAATGCGTTGCAGTGACTTGTGTACTTGTGATGGGTCTACTTCTCCCTGAAATACGTAAGAAAACAGATAATTGAATGTTATTTTTGTGTAAGCTGATTTACATGAAATCTACAAGTTTTCGGTTACCTGTATAATATTTAAGATTGATATGTAGCAGTGTTGATTCGTTCTGTCTGGACTGAGTGAGACCATCATATTCTTTGGTTGAAGCAGCCTTTGCATTACGTCGAGTACTGTTGTTTTTCGAATTTTCGGCGCCTAGAAAACACAACGTAATATTGAAAGTAACATAATATTAATTATCATAGTAACGTTATAATAATAACCAACTATCTATCCATTTACTGTAAGTTCAAAATACATTGAACAGATTTAAACACGTTTTTCGTCGATCTAAGATACAAATATATCAATGTAATATGATATTTATGACTCACGGTATTGAGTTCATGGTCGGCCGTCAGCGGCGTGTACCCGGTCATGAGGAAGTGCAGCCTGGGCGTCGGAATCAACGGCGCCACCAGACTGATCAGATCGTTGTTCATGTAGGATGGGTATCTGCAAAGTAAACTCATTGTTAATTTGTGGATTATATTGTAATCGTCCCGTATCTTGAATAGTCGAGTGACCTTGTCAAACACTATGTAAGTCTTTTAACTCGTCGAGTACCGGTTTTATAGACACAATTAAAGAACAATAGGTCGCGGTCACCGGTGACCGCTTGGTATTTGACAGTTTAAGGGACACTTAGTGGTCCGACCATAAAGGACTTGTTTTTGTAGGTCAAAACGTATTTACCTTAGTGTAGCGGTACTAGCGCTCATGATAGTAGAGACGAGCGTGTTAATCTGTGCAAACGACGGGTTCTGTATGTGCAGGCGGTCGCTGGCGATGCGGTTCAGCGCTGTGTTATCCAGAACCATCACGCAGTCGGCGCTTTCAGTCAAGCGCTTCAGCGTCAACAGGGAGTTGTATGGCTGGACTACTACGTCACTGGCAAAGAAAAAATATTGTTTTTTATGTAGGTAGGTAAGGCTCTAGAAGTGGAAACACCATAATGCGATTATGACGTGCCTCCTTACCAGTAAATGATCGCTAGTGCAAGTTTAGAATTTAAAATACTTAATGGATTTTCGACTCAGTCATACATATTGGACAGAAATAGGATTTGTGCCTGCCTAGAGTCTGGTAATAGCTCTACTCTTTATTTCATACTACTCTCTACTCATATCTCTATCAACTCCTACAGCAACAAAAGTCATAATAGTTTTATTAAAACTTGATGTTAATATTAATTTAGTTTGTAATTAGGTGTATTATGTTCCATAATGTAGACAGAGAAGATTATTGTCTGTAAACACACTAGATTAAGAACATACTATAAAAAAAATTGTATGTCTGTACAGACACAATGTGGCGCACTACCATAATATTATCTACCATCTATTGTAACATACCTACATTGACGAAATAAACAATATTTGTATTTGTATTTGATGTTATGTTATTAACAACTAAGAATACGACTGCCTCGTTGGCCGAGAGGTTCGATTCCCGGGTCGGGCAAAGTATTGCTGGGTTTTAAAAAAATTCTCAGTAGTAGCACGGAGTCTGGGATTGTGCCCGGTATATGGCAATAGGCTCACCTATTACATGGGACTCATAACATAAATAGTGAAAAGTGGGTGTTACATTGTACAGTGGCATAATGTGCACCTCTGCTACCCCTTCGGGGATAAAAGGCGAGATGTTATGTGATGTTATGAATACGACTATGTTTTAACAATTAAGTGAGACATAAAAACATTAACAACCATGACATTGCAACGTTCTTAAAAACGATTGCCGTTGACCGCACATCGCGTGACTGCATCGATTTTTCGTTGAAACTACATAAAGTGGAATTTTTATCTCTTTTCCAATCAACTTTGACATTGCCATTGAACAAAATATATCAAGGTATAGATTTTTTATTGTTTATCTGTACTTGTTTCACTGCTATAAAATAGGGATGACTTTATCAGATGAATTATAGTCTTATTCATTACAGTAATCTATTTATTTATTTGAATAGAATGGGACAAATATCAACTCCACTACAATGAATGGTAGGTTGGTGGACGAATTGGACAAGGAGACAAGGACCAGTTAGACCAGCCAAATAGTTCATGGAATTCTCATGCAGAAAGTTTGTCCAACACTTGTAGATAGACTATTAAGAGGATAATTATGTTTTAGTTTACAATGCAACTTCTTAATCCCCGATTACGAAAAATTCATAACATTTGTTCATACAAAAGCAGTCTCTAAACATCGGAAATAAGATCTATAATGGAGTAAATGGAGAGTGGTAACCAGTGACAGCTTGTTAATTAACTCAACTTGTGGTGTACATCTAATAATGAATAAAATATCATACTCTATAACATACCTTATTTCATCCAAGTTTGGGAATACACTGTAGGTCTGTACCAGTTTTTTTGGGAACCTGTCGGACAAGTGCTCCAGGATATAGGAACCCATGCCTGACCCTGTTCCACCAGCTATTGAGTGACACAGCACAAACCCCTGTAACAAGATGTCTATTAAAGTTTGGAAACCATGTAATCCTGAAGTAGGTTGTATATAAATTTAATTATACAATTGGATTAGTGTATCCTATTCAATCTTCCAATTGAATTAAAAAAAGGATTTTGAATTAAATAATCCTGTTTCAAGATTTTGATTGTAACTCAATTGAATTAAATTACCTGCATATAAAACATTACTTAAAGGAGCACAAACCAATTATCCAGATAAGACTTTAATTAAAGCTGTGATATATAAATATATAATGGATAAAAATATTAGAAATGCAATGCTCAGGCAATTAACCGCCCCGCCACATAGGTCACCGGTGACCTACGTTATCGGAGGATTTGCCTTCAGCAGTCATCAGCAGCAGCAGTTGGCAGTCAAAAGTTTAATAAACTTTCTAAACACACAGCATACCACCCCATCTTTTAAATGTGTTTATAATACTATGATAATTATTTTAGAGCACCTATCATCAAGTAACATACCTCTAAGTTATCGCTGCCATCAGCCTCTCTGTTTATAATATCAAACACTTCTTCATTCAGCTTCTCACCCTGAGCATATCCGGATGCCCAGTTGTTACCAGCACCTCCTCCATGTTTTGACAGATACACATTCTCAGGGTTGTATAGCTGAAAATAATAAACAAGAATTATCCAACAGGGAGTAGGTACCCAAGTAATATGGTGCTTATAACAATTAAGCTCAAAGTATTGAATAAAATTTTATGTTGAAATTACAAGGAAAATATAGTTAACTACAGTAAATATTGCAGAAAAGATACCATACCTTCGCATATGGCGAGTTCATTATCGTATGTATGACACGAGGCTCCAAATCCAATAAAACGGCGCGAGGAATGTAATGGTCATCGTCGGCTTGATAAAAGAATACATCTTTTCGATCTGAACCAGCCGAAGCATACTCCTCGAGTATACCCTCAGGAGAAATACCATGTTCTATACATAATTGCTTCCAAAACTCGAAACCAACTATTAACAAATTAATTAATTGTTATTATGTACCCTTGAAACAAATTTAAAATAACCGATGAAACAATAGTCGGACAATGTTTTACTCACTTTGATTACCGCATTGGCCAAGTTGTAATGTTATCATTTCACTCGGCATTTTGAAGTATTTTCTTAACAAGTTTAAATAACAAATTAACCTTATTTAGGCCGTTTATTTTTCAAAACAATTTTATAAACAAATCCATGAGCTGCTGTCGCCCATTACCAAATCGTAAGTTTGTTGTCAATTTCAGTGTCGGAAATAGTTAGAATAATGAATTGTCAAACAGAATCGTAAACGATAATGAAATGCTATTGGCTGAAACATTTTGACGTTTAAACGTTAACCAATGAAATATGTTGAACTCTATACTCTTAGTAATGGATAACCGACTAAAGTTCTAGGTGCGTTCAAGAAATGATTGTAACGAGCTAACGCTAAGTGCTATTCTTATTAGACTGATTTAATTAGTTATGTATTTATTTAGTTTTTTGTTCATAAATATGCTTCTAGGCTTTTTTGTAATGTTCTGACAATGACTTAAAATAGTTTACAATATTTAAAAGGTTAAATGAAAATGAAACTCAATGAACGTAACGTAACTTAAACTTCAAAAACAATGAGGAAACTACGGAATGTCAAATCAAACTTAAACTTCAAAGTTTCCAAAAAAGTTTTGTAACTTTAGATTTGTTTTTATTTTACTTCGTACAATACATGTAGTAATTAAAATATAGTGGATTCATGAAATAATAAGTGCCTTGATTCATTTCAAAGTGAATTTCATTCATAATCTTCTTTTTCAAATTGTTCAAGGTACGAGTCGTGGTCATAGTTGATGGCCTTCGATTAACATATTTCTCAACTTTGTTATACACAACCTACGATGTCAGAAGTTTAATGAGATATTGTTGACTCGTCGTAGGCGTGACTTTCATAACCACAAGGTTTTCAAATGCTTCTATTTGCTGATAATCTGACAAAATCTTAAGTGTTTTATTTATTATAAACTGTGGTATATGAGGACAAACTTCATGTGTGCTTAATTAATTATATAATACAGACGTTACAAACGCTAATGAAAATAGCTGTAACTCCTTTTAAAGTGTTGTCAACTCCAATGCTTTGTCAATACTTTATTAGGTACTTAAAATTGTAATTGATAAATGGTTTTGTTTCTGTGTACATAGGTGTTAGGTAATCAAGTGCTGAAGTGATCCAAAATGCCGCGCAAATTGCTCAAGTTCCTCATAGTATTTGATAACACTTCATTGTTATATTTTCCGGGGCAATTCTTGTCTGGGAAAGTGTTAATGGAACTGCAAGATGACACACCTGTGTTAGGTAAGTTCATTGTTATAATAATAATTATTGTTTTATTACACATTTTGTAATGCCGTGTAACTTTAAAAATGTTACTGGTATAAGACGAAATAAAATTATGTTTTTTTTTGTCTTTCCATCAAAGATATTTTTGTATTTAATTTATTCTTGAATACAAGATGGCTATTCAAGCTCCTGGGACATGTGATACTTTATCCTGGCTTGCAGGAGCTGCAGTGGTTGGGCAAGGCTTATCCCAATTAAAAAAATTTAAACCGCTAATAAAAAAAATGCACAGGCATAAGAAGATACTAGAAATAATTCACATACTAAACTCTAAAACAAATAAAACCCAGTCATTCGTGAAACTCAAACCAATTCTACTTGCATGTGTGGCATGACTATTTGAAGATTGACATTACTATCTTCATAATCATTTTTCATTTATTTGCACACTAGCTTTCTAGATACTTTCTTATTTGTACATCAATAGTGTATGACAGTTCACTATTTGATTATGGGCCTCCTAGACTTACTTATGTCGTAAAAGTACTTAGTTTACCTGCCACAGGCTCACAGGAATAAATTCTAGTTGGAATAGGTGGGACCTATACCCATAGGTATACTTGTTAAAGTATGTTTGTATACTTGTCCTTTTGTGGTGTATGTATGTACATAAATTATAAATTAATTAATTAGTACATATATCAAGGAATCACCATAACTATTTATAATAATATTGTAAGTTGACTGTACGATTGTTGCAGTGGCTGGGCAACTGGCTGCCACACAACATTCTCGCACTGAACGACTCTGTGTGATCCACAAATTGTTGTTTTTAGAGTCTGGGTGTGATGTGTATGTTAACTTGTATGTTTGTAAACGCACCCACAACACAGGAGAAAATCCTAGTGTGGCCCAACATTTAAAAAAAAGTAGTAATGATATATATTTTTATATATATCACTAAAAAGTAGTATATTTATTTTTATTTCCAATTATTGTAAGTAGTAGTAAAAACAAAAAAAATATATTTTTAGGTCTCCACTTCCATGTGATTGGTGAGGGTGTGGTGCGAGTTGGGTCAGGCAGACATGAGAGACTGTTTGATAAAGAAAATTACATAGACTTCAGGATGAGACTACTTGGAGAACCAGGTATGGATATTATTCAATTCTTCAAAGTTAGCATCAAAGGCCCTAATATGAATTAGTTTTACACTAAAAGTAATCTATGCTTAAAGCTTAATAGTATGTGATTGGTTCATTGGAGCTAGCCAATCAGAGTGCTGAATGCATACTAATTTCGATTACTTTAAATGTAAAACAAACTTGTACTAAGCCTGACCAGGGGCCCGAATCTGATATGCAAGACTGTCAGAATGGTCTATCATGGAGCAGTACAAGAGGGACGGAGCTATACAACCTAATAGCTCCATCTCTCTCCGATTCTGACTCAGTTGTAATAGCAGACTAAGGCCCCTGCTTAGTACTTAGGTTTGGAGACCACAATTTCTTATTTAACATTATTAAGTGCTGTTGTCCAGTCTCTATCGAATCTGTAACCATGTTGCTGTGTTATCTAAAAATATAGATATTTGCATTTCCTTTTCCTGTCCTTGTCTAGTAAATGTGCATTAGTCTGATCAAATTGTTATAAATTAAATTAATGTTTAAGAGCTTTATAAATATGCATTTATGTTTATCAATAGGTCACATATATTTATTAAAAATGCATAAAGTTGCATACTTATTAGGTATTTAAAAAAAATGGTTTTTGACAAAATATTTAAATTTGGAGTAACAGATTTTAAACAAGCAGATGGCCAGCCAGACCCAGGTATGAAAGGTCATCAGGCTGGAGCTGAACAATTAAAATGAAATTAAATGAGGTAATTATTGCCCCACCCTTGACCACTGTGCTGTGGATTCCCGCTCTTTACTCGATCTTAGGTTGGGGCACTAGCAATGAACTGGGGCCCGAGCAATGGACTGGGGCCCGGGCAATGGACTGGGGCGAAAAAATATTGATTCCAATTTACGATAATACGGTTGCTTAGATATGACAACGTATGTTGACAAAACGAAAAATATGTTATTAGAGTATAATGGTTGACCGTTAGAAAATGCCACCCGGCATTAAGTCCGCCATCGTATGTTATATACAGAAGTGTAAATAAATAAATAAAAATTAAGATTGTGTGACTACTGTTTTTAAATCCATATTACCTATGTTATTTTTGATATTTCCTTGACTGATGTGTGTGATATTATAATAAATAATTATTTTATCACATCCTACTTCCTAACAATATAATATAAATAAGAAAATTTGTGAGGATGTATGTGTGTACGTGTGTTTGTTTGTTTGTTTGTTACTCTTTCACGTCAAAACGGCTGAAGGGAATGAGATGAAATTTGGGAAAAGGGTAGATAATGGTCCGGAATAACACATAGGCCACTTTTTAACCCACGTGATCGCGGGCGAAGCTGCTGGCAGAAGCTAGTTAGTTATAAATACATTTACGTAAACTACACTACTATTTTGATGAGCGATGTGGACATTGTCAGTAATACTAAAGTACTGTAATACCTATAAGAAAATATATATTTCAAGGGTGCAGTTAGTTGTTCATTGTGACATTAGTCATTCATTCAGTCATTTTGGTAACTATAATTAAACATAGCTTGTTACAATTAAACGTAAATACACAGTATTTTTTAAAGGAATGTGTAAGATCCGGACTTTCCCATTCCCCAGGTCACAGCACATCAGTCCTATCGCCTGGTATACACAGCTTCCCATTCAAGCTGGGCCTGCCAATGGGTTTACCCTCCACATTCCTCGGCACTCACGGCTGGGTCCAGTACTACTGCAAGGCAGCTCTCAGGGAACCCAACGGTCTGACACACAAGAATCAACAAGTCTTCATTGTGATGAACCCTATTGATCTTAATTTGGAACCACCGGTTTTATCTGTGAGTAATTACAAATATTTTAAGCTTAACTTTAAAGAAAATGGCAATACAATTTTAGAAAGAAGATCATGAATAAAATTCACTTCCAAATGTATCAAGACACTTATTTAATTCATGAATTTACTCGTGAATTCATGAATAATAATTAAACCGACTTCAATTAAAAAGAGGTTCTCAGTTTGATCTGCATGTATGATTGTTTGTTTGTTCGCGATTATCTCGCGAATGGCTGTACCAACTTTGATGCGGTTTTCAGGAATTATTTGTTACACTTAGAAGGTTTTAGTATGGGTATTAATTTAACCACAGGATTTACTGACCTCCAAAAAAGGGGTCCAAGTCGGTTTTTTATACGTGATTTATAAAAGAATTATTCTTATATTCAAAAATTATAGATCATACTTGGTGATCATAAGTCCACAATATTTTTTTTTTGTGGGAACAGGATCCACGGAATTTCCTTTATTCTATGTATGTTATTATGTAACTAAATGTTAATTGGTTCATAAAAAGGGATCCTACATTCCCTGACATTCAATAACTGCGTAGTAAAACTACGTACTTTTGTTACAGTGAGTGAGCACAGTGAGGCGTAACATAAAACAATCCTACATAATGCAACGAGTAGGTACTTTATTACATAGGCTGCTGTCAAGGTTACTACTATACAGGAATAAAAGCCACGGTTGGCGCGGTGACTGGGCAACCGGCGGGTTCGATTCCCGCACGGAGTAACTCTTTGGGCGATCCACAAATTGCTGTTTTGGGTCTGGATGTCATATGTATGTTTGTAAACGCACCCACGACACAGGATAAAATCCTAAACGCTTAAAACAAAATCTTATTAACCCTTTGAGTACCGTCATTATAGACACAATTAAAGAACAATAGGTGTGCGGACATCAGTATCCTCGCGTGTTTAACAGTTTAAGATTAACCGGATAGGAAGTGACACACTAGGGTTGCTTAGACCTGAAGTCTCCCTTTCTCAATACTGATAGTAACAACTGAATTCAACTGTTTTTCGTACTCTCGGTTTTAAACGCAAGATGCACAAATCGACAGGAAAGATCAACTACATTTATATTAGCCTTCTAAAACATATCAATCACATAAATAGTTGTCCCAAAACTCCAGCCAATCACCCAACCACTTTTTGAACATAATTGACCTTCCATTCTGGTTGCAGCAACAGTTCGAATGCAGCGTAGAACACAGACTGGGTGTCGGGTGCGTGGGCGGGGGCACGGTGTCCTGCGCCGTGTCACTAGACCGCGGGGCCTACGTGCCCGGGGAGAGCATCATGCTCACTGCCACACTGGTGAACAACTCTAGGACCACTATCAAAGCCACTAGGGCAGCTCTTACAGAGGTATGTGTTTTCTTATAGGTAGACTATAGATATAAATGAATGATTTTCAGTGTGAAGTTTGTACAGCTGTATGTAGTAGGTAGATGCTGTGTTTTACATTCCTTACGTTGTATTGAGGCAGTTATTACTATACATTATGCCTTTTATTTTACGAAGGAATAATAATAGATTCCCATAACATAACATCACGCCTTTTATTCCCGAAGGGATAGGCAGAGGTGCACAAAGAGGTAGCACCCACTTTTCGCGGAGAACCTAACGGATAACCGGGGCTCCGCCTCGACGTGCAGGAGAAGGAACGGGGTGGTTTTTAGTCAGTAAGAGTCTGACACTCCCTCCTGCCTCGTCCAGGCGGGAGCAGTCAATCGATGATTTTCCCCCCCTTAAAAAAAAGCCATTGGAAATTTCTAAATGGAAACATTAATGGAAACAATAATGGTTTAGGTATCTGCCCTCGGTTGTGATATAACAAAACAATTTACTTGAATAATCATAATCCAATATCTATCTCTACCCAATCTCTATCAATGAGGAACAAGTTTATTGCAGTGATTCAGTGACTAACTACGGATATTTTTATTAATACCTGTTTTCCTGGTAGGTAAGTTGTTATGGCTATTATTCTAAAGTCACTTAAAATAAAAGGTACACATTCAAATAATACCTACCTATTAGGAATTCTATGTTTTGAGTAAGACTAAAAAAACCTAGATTATGCCAAGTAATGTTACTGCGAGGGCCGCCCTGAGGACACGGTGGAACACGCAGTGGATGAATGCCCTGCGTGGGCTGAGCACCGCCGTGCCCTCAGGGAAGTGACCGGCGATGGCGACCTCTCGCGTCCGGGCCTAGTGCAGGCCATGATGCGGAGCGAGGGGGACTGGGATGCCGTCTCCTCCTTTTGCGAAGCAGTTGTGCTAGCTAAGGAGGAGGCGGGACGCGTGAGGCAGCAAGTCGCTGCCTCCTCGCAACCCAGCCATCGCGAAGGACACACCGGGCGTCGGGGATCGCGGGATGATCTCCGGCCACCGCACCGTAAGCGCGGGTCTGCGGACGGCGAGCATGGGCGGCTCGCGCGCCTCAAAGAGCCATCAGACCACCACGGATGGGGCCCAACAGGGCTGATGCCGATTCGGAGTCGCGGAGAACCTAACGGGTTACCGGGGCTCCCCGGCTCGACGTGCAGGAGAAGGAACGGGGTGGTTTTTAGTTAGTAAGAGTCTGACACTCCCTAACGCCTCACCCAGGCGGGAGCAGAAATAAAATAAATAAAATGCCAAGTAATGTTGGCGAGACGACCGGACTTTCACGTTTTTATAACAAACGAAGCTAAATAGAAAACATGATACATCGATAGTTCCTTTGTTCGTTTTTTACTGTAATGTTTTGCACTGAAACGAGTTCACGTAATATAGAGTTATGGAGTTACTCGTCTGCTGTTCGAAGTCACGATCACGACCTGCCGGTCAAAGGCCTTGTAAAGTGCGGATCATATTAATTTTGTGGTTTTATGAGGTTAAAATAACCAATTCAATCGTTACGATAGTTTTTGTATATTCGGATCCTTATGTACCTACGCAGTTTAGCTTTGTAAATGTTATGCTGTAATAGTATTAAGCTATTAAGTACCGCATGTATAAAATGGGATACTTATATATGATACTAGCTTTTACCCGCGGCTTCGCTCGCGTCACAAAAGAATAAAAAGTAGCCTATGTGACATATACCAATACACACAGCGCCATCTCTACCAATAATTTCGTTTTTCCTCGAAAATATCACATTTTTCCAGGATAAAAAGTACCCTATTATTTAATCCACACTTCTAACTTCACGTCAAAGCAATCGGTTTAGTAGTTACGGCGTGAAAGTGGAACAAACAAATAAAAAAACTCACTTTCCGATATATAATATTAGTAAGGAAGTAAGGATAAGATAAGTGGGTTTTACTTCTGTATGCACCTCTGCCTACCCCTTCGGGGATAAAAGGCGTGATAATATGTTATGTTATGTATAAAATACAGGTGATTCATTTATTATTACGAGCCTAAGTTCTACTTCACACGTATTTCAGGCAAGTCTTTTTTTGGCATGACTATTCGTAAACCGTTCATTATTGAATTTATTGATTATATTTTAATAATAATTCTTTTTTATTACGGTGCCAATGCAACAGCAATAATATTATAAGCTTAGCGTAGCGTAGCATGGCATACCGTAACGTAGCATGGCATAGCGTAGCATGGCACAGCGTAGCATGGCATAACATAGCGTAGCGTAGCATGGCATAGCATAGCAAAGCGTAGCATAGCATAGCATAGCATGGCACAGCGTAGCATGGCATAACATAGCGTAGCGTAGCATGGCATAGCATAGCAAAGCGTAGCATAGCATAGCATAGCATGGCACAGCGTAGCATAGCATAGCGTAGCATGGCACAGTGTAGCATGGAGTAGTGTAGTATGGCACAGCGTAGCATGGCACAGCGTAGCATGGCATAGCGTAGCATGGCATAGCATAGCATAGCGTAGCATGTCAAAGCATATTGGCTATTGGATATAAGATTTATTTATAGAAGATGATAACAGTATTACACGTCCTCTATAAGTACTTTTGGTGACTGAGCTACGATACCTCAACCTCCATTTGAAAGAAGCCCTTGATCAGTAGTAGATGAACTATACCCTGCGGTATTTCAGACCCATTCATATCCATTGAAACCCAAACTAAAGAAACTTACATACAATGGGGTTGACGTGACCCCATGAACAGACGTATTACCTGAGAGGCTGAGAGTATTTAAGTGAGGAGCTTTGTCTATGGACATACGCAACACCAGAGGAACTCGGTCTTTTAAAAAAGGTGTGCGCTCTTTTCTTGATGGTTTCAATGGATATGAATTGAAGGTTTCAATAATACTTTTATTTCATTCTTAAGCACTTACCTAATAGTATATCAACAATAGTTTTGGCTACAATATTTTTACAGGTATATGATTTTAGCTTCTGTAGTCGACCTAGGCCGTATGCATGTATGCAATAGACATGATGATATAAAACTTGTAAACATGTTAACAGACGATCCAGTACTCAGCTCACGGCAAAGTAGCCGCGAAGGAGGTTCGTGAACTAGCATCACTGTCGCACGGCAAGACCCGAGCTGGTGACAGTGACGTGTGGCGCCATGAGCTCCTCTACGTACCGCCGCTGCCTCCCACCAACTTGCGTGGCTGCCATCTCATCTCTGTGCAGTATGATGTCTTCGTAAGTATAAGTGAACTTATTGATATATTGTTTGTTTGTTCCACTTTCACGCCGTAACTACTAAACCGATTGCTTTGAATTTTTGCAGACGTGAAGTTAGAATTCTGGATTAAATAATAGGGTACTTTTTATCCCGGAAAAATTTGATATTCTCGAGGGAAAACGAAATTATTGGTATAGATGGCGCTGTGTGTATTGGTTCATGTCACATAGGCTACTTTTTATCCTTTTATGACGCGAGCGAAGCCGCGGGTAAAAGCTAGTATGTATATAAAAATCTGTCTGTACGCTTACGTGCAAATCGGACACATCGCCCAAAGAACTGATGGTCGATGAGCCAAGAAGCCATGAGCAGAACTTGCGTTAGGTAGACCAACAATGTCATTAGAGGACAAAAAAAGAGGTAGGAGGTAGGTGTTTGTTCTGCAGTAGACTTGCCGATTGACAATGATAATATGGTCTTCTACTAACTTTTGTGTAGTAGAAGTGAGTTTTTGGTTTCTTATTTAATCAATAAATGATATTTAAATCTGCAAATAGGTTACAAAGTTACACTTTTATACGTCAATCTTTACATTACTAGATAAGGTCGGCATTTCCTAACTGCCTACTCTGAGAAGACCCACATGCTTGCACATAATATGCACATGGTAGAATCAATATATCACTAAATTCATTATTTGCAAATAAAAATGAAGGTCTTTTTAAAATTCCAGTTCATAATCGAGCCGAAGAGTTTGGAGAAGGAAGTGAAGCTGCAGCTTCCAATCCTGATAGGTACGTATCCGTTCCGCGAGGAATCAGATGAGCCGCAGCCTCCGACGCACTACCCCAGCACGCTGCCCATCTTCCGCGCCTGGCTACACGACAAGCCCGCACACTGACATACAGACAAACAGACAAATTATTTACACACGCAGTACTGACAGTTACTTTAAATAATAGCGTTAACCCCTTCGTATTTTAATCATAAGTGTATCGTTACGTTCAAACTATCGAAATGGTAATTAACACAGTTATAAAAGACGTGTCTCAATTTGTGTGAGCGTATTACAATACGGTTACGATACGACGTCGTATGCGAAAGGGTTTATTCGCTAATTTTGCATTAATTGTTTAGCAATGTATGGCAACACTGTAGCTTGTACAATGTACATGTTGTAGACTCTTCATACAGATTTATTTGTGCTGTATATCGAGTCAGAATAAATTTATGAATCATGTTTTATAACCAAGTTATAAATCGAAAAAAAAACTACAGAGACTAATTGAGAACCTACTCCTTTTTTGGGGAATCGATTCAAAAAGAATCTCTTACGAATCTCAAATACTGATGCAAATGGTCAAAACAAAGTAATTATTTACAAAAAAAATAAGTTTTACAAAATTGTTGCAAAATCATAATAATATATTAAAATTGTATATTATATCGATGGCTCATTCGTAAACGAAATAGCCGAACGCGAAGCGAATACGACTATAGTAAGTACCTATAGGACTACATAAATCTATAGATATTAAAATCTCGGGCTTGGTATGAATCTGCTGTATGTACTTTGTTTTCGTTTCATTCTCCACGTATAAAAATCCTAGTATAGTAGGTATTTTGTTATTATTATAATAATAATAATAAATGGAGACGGAACAAAAACGACGTGTGTTAAGTTCAATCGAGCCCTAAGTTGAGTCGCGGAGAACCTAACGGGTAACCGGGGCTCCGGCTCGACGTGCAGGAGAAGGAACGGGGTGGTTTTTAGTCAGTAAGAGTCTGACACTCCCTTCCGCCTCACCCAGGCGGGAGCAGCCATTCAATGATTTTCACCCCTTAAAAAAGAAAGCCCTAAGTTGTGGTAAAATTTTTGTGACCAATCTATGAGTATGAAGTACAGCTACAAAAATAATAGCTGTTTTATAAATAAAAAATGTTGTTAAATGGAATTAATACCTACCTATTTTATTAGATAGTAATAATTATGAAAATTTTATACTGCTACTGATAGTACTTATCCAAAATTATACACTGCCGTAATTGTAAGGTTTATAATTATATTAATATTTTCTTAACAGCCTATTGTGGACAATTTTTGATGATATCAATGATTTGTTGTAAAAAGTGTTGTTTTGTAAAATTATATTCGACTCTAATGTAATAACTTCTAGTGCCATTTAATGAGTTTAACTTCAATTTAATTATTATGTCTTATCTGTGGCTATTTCCTATTACCTATCGATGCGTTTGGATTCCAGAGACAGAGTTTCATAGTTTTATATATAAAAATGGCCAATAAAGACGAATGAGTTATGAAGTATTAATTCCTAATTATTATGTAACGAACGTATTACATACTAAATTAATTGTTATGTTTTTGACGAGGAACTCGACTAGTTTCAAGCCATGTTCGAGGCTCATATTCATGACCAGCATTCCTCTGTTGTCAGGGCGCTGCAGTTACGTGAGTAAGCCGAAAACATAATTAATTTAGTATGTCTCAAGTAAATTTTAATATAAACATGTATTACATACTAATGGAAATGTATATAACTAACCTGTGATATACCGATCCGTCCATTTATTGTAGTGATGTACCAATTTTTACTATTATAAATATTTACTTATTACTATCTTCGTTGTTTTATTTTTATTTTACACATTTCAACATTAACAGCTTAGATTATAGTTCTATAATTAACAGAGAATGTAATTACTGTGATATTGTCAAACAGCTCAAAATCGCAACCCTCTATACAGGTGTCACGGAGAACCTAACGGGTAACCGGGGCTCCGGCTCGACGTGCAGGAGAAGGAACGGGGTGGTTTTTAGTCAGTAAGAGTCTGACACTCCCTCCCGCCTCACCCAGATGGGAGCAGTCATTCGATGATTTTCCCCCTTAAAAAAAACCTCTATACAAGTGGCCGGGGATTTGACGCTCAAGCGTAAAATTTTGATACTTTATGAAGAGGAGAGTCCAATTCACCCCCATGTATGTTCTACGATTTTGCGTAGTTTTTGAGTTATATTTTTTTCATGATTTCTTTCGTACATGGAATTACATGGGCTCATAACATTTAACCTTTTGAGCGCCAGGGTCACAAATACGTGACAAGCGAAAACTGTCCCTGAGCGCCAACGACACAAATATGTGACAAAAACAGCGGTACATTAAAACACGAAATAAACTATTTAAACATTACTTTAATGCCTATTTATTTATATACCTGTAAAATAGAAGGTCCAAAATTTATTTATTTCCATAAAACTAATTAAATTGCATTATAAATATTGAGAAATTTTACGTTAAAAAGAAAGAAATAAATTCTGAAAAAAGAATGTCCTCACACGCCAGAGTCATAACTGCGTGACCGCTAGTGATGTAGCGCATGTTGGATAATATCATTATTTCAAATCAAAGATCGATTCGAAACTTTCCTCTGGAATATATTATTTTAGGTATAATTTGGTACTAGGATAAAGCAGCATTAATTTTATAAAACCAGTCTTAAAAATCATTCAATAAGCTACATAGTCAAAAATAAAATTTGGTTGGGTCGAATTTCGATATTCACTAATCCCAACTCAAGCGCATCCCTAACGCAACCCGAATTATCAGTACCCTGTACGCCATGGTCACGACTAGACGACAATATCGTGACGTCACAAGCGCGGCGACCAGAAATTAGTGAAGTGAATGAATAATATTTATGATTAATTTACTTGTGATATCGAGTTCAAGATTTATATTAAGTGACTATTATAATGAGTGGGAATTTAATGACTACGGAAGAACTTCTTCGCATATTAGAAGGAGTCTCAGATGACGAAGAATTTTCGGAAACAATTTTCGGATTTTATTTACATATGGCTTACTATTAGATGATAAGATAATACAATGCAGATTTTGTATAATGTTGTTCTATTATTCTAAAGATTTATTAGTATAAGACTGATTGGTAACTGTGATAATTATATATAATGGTTAATTGTTTTAATTTGTTACTTTTTTATGCCTGATAACACATGGCTTACTATTCGCTGGGTGCGCGATGACAGCGCCAACTAGCGGTCGGTGGACTCGGCGGACCTTGGTACGTCAAATAGTTGACTGTCATTGTCTTTACGAGGAGTAAGCATTGAATAAAGCATGAAGGTGTAGGTAAAGATGGAGTACACAGTACACACTTGAAATACCTACTTGAATTTTTATTTCTCTTCTACTGTCTGAGGTCAGTTTGTTTCAATTTCTGTAGTACACTAGAAAAAGAGATCAGACCTCAGTTTGCCTCAGAGAATAGGAGCGAGAGTATTTGACTCGAAACTTTTATTCTAAGTGTGGGCTCCATATTTACCTATAACTTCGTGGAATAAAGTCTGCCAAAAGTTCCTTTTTTAGCCACTTTGCACCCAGCGAATTAGATGATCAGAATGCAGGTTGCATTGTAGATTTTGTATAATTTTGTTCTATTATTCAAAAGATTTATTAGTATAAGACTGATTGGTAATTGTGATATTTATATATAATCGTTAATTGTTTTAATTTGTTACTTTTTATGCCAGGTTTATAGAACTTAATATTTAAAAACATGTATACATAGTACATACTGTATAACATTTTATTAAAATGTTCTATTTTTTCATAGTTTTTATTTACCTTCTTAACCTATTTCAATCATATATTTTTAAGTACCTGTTACATTCGGAATTATAAATCTGATTTAAAAAACGTGTTTCATTTATTATAAAATAATATTGTACTAGAACATCGATAAACGAGATATTACGTTGCCACGTCCTTATTTCGGAAGCGAAGTAGTTATTAAAATGGCGGGCCGTCCACGCCATGGTCACAATATGAAGACAGCAGATCAAGAATAGTGTTGTACCTACAGTTATTATATTTAAATATATTGTAGTCTCATATCTGTTATTACGGTATTATACAAGTCTGTAAATAGTGTATAACTATTACTTTAATAGGAAGAAATGTAATGTTGAATTAAATTTCAATGTTATAAGGACATTATATTTCGAAATTAAAGACGAAAATGAAAATAAAATTGATTATCGATGAAGTTTTGGAATCCCTATTTTTTTCGTAGGTATTTGCGGTGAATTTGTGGCCTGGCGTTGAGGGCAAGTTCATGCGTTTTTGCTCTGGCGTTCAAAAGGTAAGTGGGTGTTACATTGTACAGTGGCATAATGTGCACCTCTGCCTACCCCTTCAGGGAGAAAAGGCGTGATGTTATGTTTATGTTTCTTTCGTAATTTTCGCCTAAAAGTTTTTATATTCATATTCATCAATGTATATGTGTATAGCAAGCTAAAATCTTATTTTTGCAATGCCTAGAAAAACCGTAAGTTTAGGGTGCGAGGTTAGACTATGTTAGTCAGTTATCACAAAACAACTGCTGGAAACTTCCAACTAAATGAGAAAAAGAAAACTGACCATATAATTAATAAGGTAAAATTAAATTGTTTATCACTACATAGTATAAAACAAAGTCGCTATCCGCCGTCTGTCTGTCCCTATGTATGCTTAGATCTTTAAAACTAAGCAACGGATTTTGTTGCGATTTTTTTATAGCTAGTGATTCTTACGGAAGGTTTATCTAAGTAAACATGCATATTGCACCCGCGCGAAGCTGGGGCGGGTCGCTATCGCTAGTATGAAATAAAACTCGAGTAATTACATGAAATCGTGTATTTGCATAACACTGCACTGAATAGAGGCTTGTCAACAGTAGTTGTTCTGCCGAGATTGTTCCCAAATATTACAAGTAAGATCATGTCGAGCTCGAACCTCCGTACGATGTTTTTTTAACAATTTGTGTCGAAATATTACATTATTCACAAATATATAAATTATCACTACACGCATCCATATACAATATCACATATCCAAATCCAACTTTTCTGTTGATCATTTCTATTTGATAAGACAATGTTCCGCGACATTACGTGTTTCGCATGAAGTTTCAGCAGTGACGGTACATTCAGACTTACAAAAGTACAAAATAAATGTGTCCTAGATCTACATCTCAATACTACTTATCCACAAAATTGTAATCTATCTATAACAGTGTCTTGTACAAACATTTCAGCCACACCCATGTCCTAAAATAAAATAAAAACGGACTAAAAATTACAAACTATCTATAAGTAATTGCATTTATCTGCTTATATTAGAACATAGAAATCAGTCATTATTTTACTGTACTGCATGTAAAGTGTTATATGACAAGATGGAAAGTTTAACTTTACAATTTTAGTTTTACAGAAACAAGATTACACTGTAGTGATCAGGTATTTATAACACAAAGTACTTGGTCAACTTCATGCTGGGAACACGTCTGTCGCGAAAAGTGAATGACATCGAATGGGGCGATCTTTCTTGCACTGTCTTGCAGGTTAGCACTGTACATATGTAGATGTGTTTCTTATAAGCCAATAGTAAATTGTCCACACGTATGGTAGCGCCGTTCATGTGCAACATCCTTGTCACTAACTTACCAAACTTTTAAACAGTAAGTAATCGGTGACTCGAATTGCACTCAGTGAACGTGGCGCATATTGACAAGATGGCTTCACTGGGTCATCAATTCACACCGTCGCATCGTGTAGCGTTATAAACCTAAGATATAGAGAAGCGTTTGCTTTTCTAGAATACCCGCAGCCCGCTGCCTGGTCGCTGCATCAGTAGTCGGCGGGAGGTGTGGGCGCGCGCGGAGTGGAGGGGGAGCGGGCGGGCGGGGCGCGGCACTACGCCATCTTGTTGGCCAGCGCCAGGTGCAGGCACGACAGCTGCGCCGTCCACTTGTCGAGCGCGCCGTACCGCGCCGCGCCGCGCGCGCTGCTCGCCAGCTCCAGCACTGAGTTCACCTGGTCGATGCGCCCGCTGATCGTGCTGCGCATACCGGACATTACATCATTATATATTATCATTCCAGTAAACTTGTACAAAGATGTGAAGAACAACAATTAGTAGGATCTACTCACTTATCTAAAATACAGGTGACCAAAAGATTCTCGACTTCCTTCTCATCAATGTTCAGTTCCTTAGATATAAAAGGTATATGAATCCTGGTGTAGGGACCAATCAATTTGATCAGCACCTGGGTCCTGATGTTTCTTAACAAATCTTCTATATGTTCTCTGATGAAAGGGTCGTCCATAATGTTGTTCCTGTTGTGTTTCAGAATGGACTCGAACTCGTTAATATCGTTGTTCTGATACGCCATTACGAGGTTTGTCATAGCTAAGATCTCAGGATCATTCTTATATGGTTTTGCTTCTTGAGAATCAAAAGGATTGATTCCAGATTTCATAAGCCTGTACAAAATTAAAATAAATTAATATCATTGAACCTCAATGATACAAGCACTCACGATTTATTGGCAGTACTCACATATTGGCTAAAACGAGATACTTCAAACATGTTGTCCTTCTGGGACTGCCAGACTCGTCGTAATTCTTGAACGCTTCAAAGAAGTCTGTGTGAGCCTTCTCAAACTCACCTTCACGCAAGTGCATTTTACCACCACACTCTGAAAAGTTATAGGATCGTTAAAACAAACTTAGAAATTGTCACAAACAAATTATTCACATAATAGTTCGATGAGAAATTGTTAGTCCCAGAGATATGTTGTTATGGCATAATATGGTGGCTAACATGCAGACGGATCACCAGATGGCAAGCAATCAGAGCCACCTCTTGACACTCGCAACAACAGTGGAGTTTCAAGTGTGTTATCTGCCTTTTAGGGATTGGGGATGGGGGCAGGATTAGTATGTACCTCTAATAACACCCATAATGAGTGGATGTGGTATAGCAGACTTGATGTGCAGAGATTGTTCATACAGAGCCTTTAGCTTCTTGTTGTTCTTTTGTGCGGTGTACATCTGAATCTCAAGGGCATAGATCTCCAGCAACTGTGTTCCTTTTTTCAAGTCATCTTCGCCTTCATCAGTCTGTAATGAAGATATTAGATAGAGTTTGCATTGTTGTCTGAAGTAATACCATACTGGAGATTTTTCTGATTATTCTTAATAAATTACGGTTGGCCTTTTGTTACTGAGCTAGTTTACACTATCTAAAATTGAATATTAGTACAATAACATATTGTTATGCCTTTTAAACCCTAAAGGGGCAGACCAAGGTGCAAATGTACAATGTAACACCCAGTTTCATCAGATTTGTTATATGTCCCAGAGTCCCATGTAACTTCTATTACATTGGACTTAATTCCTCATATCATGCATACAATCTCACCTGGCAGCTCTGATGTAGTTGCTTGAGGATCTTAGCAAGTTTATTGAAGTCTCCTCTATCATAATACAGTTTTCCTAGTTTTGTGTTTGTCTTGAACCATAACCTGTCATTTTTGGCATCTTTTAGAGCTTCTAAGGTGGTTTCGTAGAAGTCTTGTAACAATTCCATCTGTACAGAGAAAAATATTTGAATAATAATGAAGAGTTGTGAGCAATAACCATTCATTTTATTGGCAATACCTATGAAAGCATAGTTAGATTAACTATATCCTTGAGTTTATCCAAAAACTTAATTGAAAACTACTAAAATAACCTTAACCCCTCGAGCATCCTTCTGAGCAACTGGTGGATCATAAGAAAAAATGCTCCATGCTACTTTCTCTTTTATAAAATCTATTATTAATGTTTTGTTTTTATTTTGACTTTATTTGTTTTATTTCTATTGTAATGATCCTTGTTTTCGTGTGCCAATGGCCAAATAAATGCATTTTCTTGCATGCATAAGGATAAGGAAATGCATAAGGAACGCAGACACTCGACGGGTTAATAGCATACAGTTGCTATAACAGCTATTAATTATAAACTCAAAACTGGCAGGTAATAAATTTGCCATGGAACTTACATTTCTAGAAGTAGAGATGTAATCCAAGATGGAGTTGATAGACTTCTCCGAGTGGTTCCTAGTAACTGCACTCTTGATGTATGTTAACAGTTGTTTGTAACGAGACATCATTTCTGTAAAGTTACCCTGTAAATGGACAAAAGGAATAATTATATAATTTTAACTCGTCGAGTACCGGTTTTATAGACACAATTAAAGAACAATAGGTCGCGGTCACCGGTGACCGCTTGGTGTTTGACAGATTAAGCACAACAAAATATTTAGTATTTGCAATAGGTATCATGCTTTGTTTTTATGTCTACCCCCATGGACCAAAAGTGGATGCTTTATCTATAAAAAATCTTAATAAGCTTCATAAGTTAAAATTTTTAACAGAACTTGAAAATTTTGAGCAAACATTGTTTCGAGACATCATTATAAAAAAGTGCAATAAGTTTTAGTTGGAAAATTTCTTGTAAGAAACATACCAATTTAAAATTTATCTTGATCATCTGTTTGAGTGCCTTGAAGCCCCATTCGCCTTTGTCACCTCCTTCCAGCTCCAGGACTTTTTGAAAACTAAGCAAAGCAGCTTGAGGCTCATCTTCTTTCAGAGCTTTACTGTTGTAGTACTGATTCTCTAGATCAACATCTGGCTCTGAGTTGCTGTCTTCAGAGTATTCCTGAATAGAAAAGTTTCCAATTAGTTTTTTTTTTTTACATTTATTTACCCTACCAAACTACATCAGTCTAACAAAGGTCACCGGCCGTCACGTCTGGCTAAAGTATCCGGTCGAATTAATAATAACTTTGACATTAAATGCAATATTATGATGTAAACGGTTATGTATCTCCATATTTCTAAATACAAATTAAACGAGAAGTTTAACACAAAGACAGGTTATAGAACGGATTTTGGTAGGAACCTTAAAAACGTCACTACACACAATAATATTAACGAATGTATTACGGTTGATAAATTTACATACCAAGCCATAATCTTCTTCCTCTTCACACATATAATCATCGTCATTATCGGACATTTTTATTAACTTTTCTTATTTATTTATTTTACAATTTCACAAATTACAAAAGCGTATTTTTTACAAGCTATTATTTTCCCGAAATGACATGACTGTCATGACACTGACATTTATATCAAGTCAATGACACACCAGTTTTTTGATTTTAATACCATAGAAAAAAACAATATTGAGTTTATCTATGAATGAATGAACTCAGTCCGTCCGCTGGAAAAAATCGGGAAGATGGAGTCCTATCACTGCTGTTTAAATAAAATTACTAACACCGAAGAAGTTGAGATATTACACCAGCGTGACGCAAATTCGCTGCCTATTACAGTAACAGATAACCAAAAATATACTGACCCAGTTGGTATTTTTGCTTGACTGTGTTTGCAAATAAGAGGATGGAAAAGCAATATGCAAGAGCAAAACTCTTAGAAGTTCCGCTTTATGGTTTTTCGCTTATCGCGAAAACTTACCCTATATATAGAGCTCAACTTAAATTAATGTCAGTTTGTTTTTAGCCGCAGTTAAGTTTTCCTTCCGCCTACCCTCCATAATCTAGAAACCAAAGCCGTGAGTATTAAAAGTAAAAGTATAACGGTTATCTTACATTATATTCTGTAACCTCTAAAAATCTCGAGAAACGTAATGATTTTTTAGAAGAAGATTTAAAAATATGTTAAGATATTTCGATTTTCATTGTTGTAAGTAACAAGCCACATACCATAATATGCACCCAATCTTTGGATTGTATGACCAAAGCAATAATCGGAGGGAAGGCATGTACACAGGGACTACGCTGGGGCCCTCGGGCACACAAAAATTCTCACCTTTTTTTGTAACGTTGCCCACACTATAATGTTCTCCTGTATTGTGGGTGCATTTCCAAATACAACTTTACATACACATGACACCCAGACCCGAAACAACAATTTGTGGATCAAACTAAAATTAGCTCCGCGGGTGTGTGTACACCCGCTACAGAGTTCGTATCCGTCGTGAAAATTGTCGGTCCTTCGGGGCCTCCTGTTGAAGGCGGCCCTAGGCACACACGGGCTCCGAGTGTCCTTATGGTAAAGACTCACTCGCCACCAAAGGCAGATTAAACCTAGAGAGCGTCCTAGGCAACACGTCATAGGCACCCCTAAAGTGTTTTGTGCGCCACCGTCACTCTATGGGCACGCACGTCCCGCGGCGTCGCGGTACCCCTCTGTAACCTGTCGCGGAGAACCTAACGAGTAACTGGGGCTCCGGCTCGACGTGCAGGAGAAGGAACGGGGTGGTTTTTAGTCAGTAATAGTCTGACACTCCCTCCCGCTTCACCCAGGCGGGAGCAGTCATTCGATGATTTTCCCCCCTTAAAAAAAACCTCTGTAACCTGGTTTTTTGGGCACTTACCTAGTTTGCCTTAGGGATACTAATACTACAGACTGCTTTCCACGCTTAGAATTAGTTGAAAAAGGCAGGTTGGAAAACATTAGAGCTCGGATTATAATCTGTACTTATATGGAATAGAAGTGTTAAAATAAGCACATTAAAAGGCCAAAATACGCATTAAATAGAACTAAAAAACCTAAAACATGAGTAGAATATGCATCAAAACATCTGACCTAAACGACATCATCATCACGCCTTTTTACTCCGAAGAGGTAGGCAGAGGTGCAAATTAAAGCACTTAATGCCACTGTACTATGTAACACCCACTTTTCACTATTTATATTATGAGTCCCGTGTAATAAGGGGTGAGCCTATTGCCATATACCGGGCACAATTCTAGACTCCGTGCTACTACTAATGCTGGCACTAAAAATATACGCAGTGCACCCTTTCTAAAAATAAGTGTACACCAAGTAGGTACATATAGAGGATGGGTTTGATAATACCTACCTAAAACACTTCAAACTGGGGTTTTTGTAAAATATTTCTTAACCTTTACACAAAAAGTTTGTTTATACAGTAACACACGATTCGTAACATACTATTCAGCTTCATATGATGGTAGATACCAAGTACATACTCTCTAAAATATTTTGACTTAGACAAAAGTTACAGAGTTAGTTATATGCAACTGATAACTGCATACAATTCGGGATCCAGATTTTAGAGACCACAATAAGAAATTCTTTACCAAATAAATGTATAAAATTAACATAGGAATGTGCAATAGGAAAGGACAAGGATGTCCTTTATATAAAACTTATTGACACTTAAAAGCAGGTAGGTAGTTAACCTGCAACATCGCCTGGTCAAATTGTTTACTACTATCCCGTAAAAGGTAAAAACGAGATAAAAACGAAATTGAAAAGAATGTATTCAATAGAATACTATAAATTTTTTGTGATTCCAGTTCGAAGTAGCCCAAGAACCTTTTCGTTCATCTCCAATACCGTACTTATCTTGTGGGCAGGTAGACGCGTCATAGTCATGAAGAGATAAGTATGAACCTGTCCCAACATGTTAAATGAATCAACTGTTTTTGAATCTTCGTGATAAATGCACAAACTGTGATATCCAATAAGTATGCACTGTTATCTGTTGTTCGATAAAACCAATGATTTAGGTGTGGTCTGACTGATCTGATAATATTGACTTTGATGAAATGCAAATGTTATCAATGCACCTTTGCAGTTTGTTGTTCTTGTTGATATAGCGTAACTTATTTAGTTAAGAATCTATCCAGTTGGGAGAGTATATAGGCATTTTGACTACATTGTCCTTTTATCATTAGGTGGCCCATTCGTTTTGTAACAATTAAGTAGTAAATGAATGACTAGACAAAGTTTTAGACTTTAAACTATTTCTCTATTTCCTAGTTCATAGAAACTGGAAGAAATACCCAGGAATAAAAACTGTGATCCTTACGTCGGCAGGCTTACTTGCGACCACTCAATCAAACGTAATGTCGTTTATGCCATGACATTCGATACTATTACCATAGTATAAAGAACAAAGTAGGTTATCTTCATACAAATGCTCCGCGCGCGGCTTATATGTGTGCGCCATAGTAGCTATGCGTCGACGCACGCACACTTTAACAAAATCTCGACCCGTTTCTCAGTGCGCCAGGCAGGGCTGACACTGTACGAGGCACAGAGCATGTAATTATAAGAGGCGGAACTTAGTACATTCAATTTTTTGAGAGTTCGTAACGGCGCTTAGCCAACCACACATGTGACACAATGCTACCAACATTAGCAATGACAGTGACAACCATGACCTTGAAAAGAGTAACTGTCACGAATAAGGATGGGCAACGTATCGATATTCAGATTTCATCGATATCGATAAAATATTAAGCATGCTTTTATATAGGATTCCTGCACAAAAGTATATATTTTGAAAATTAGGAAAAAAAACACTATTTTATATAATTTTACTTATTCATTTATTTACTTAATACATTCACCATATACTACAGATTAGATACAGAAGTTGTTTCTTACAATGCCACTTTTCTGACAATCGACCTTTACATTCAAATCATTTACGCTGAAATATTCAAACGCTGGCTGATCATGCATTGGTTGCATTGGTCTTTACGTTGCAAGGTATTTTTAAGAGGGGGGGGGGGGATCATTTAATGACTTCGGCCGCCTGGATGAGGCGGATCAGACTTTTACTGGCTAAAAACCACCCCGTTCCTACTCCTGTACTTCGAGCCGAAAATATCATGGTTGTTAAAGATACTGGATTCCATATGTTAACAACAATCTGTGACCTCCTGTTTTTAGGACCCTTCCTACAAACATGGGGACCCTGAAACTATTAAAATCATTATCACTTCCTCCAATTAACGCAAATGACAACTATTTTACTTACTCAAATGGAAAAAATTACATTGTTTATGATATACTATATATACTATTTATGATATATCATTTATTTAAATCGATTAGAAATAATTTCCTCAAATATGGGGAAATGTATATGTCTGGAATGAAGGCTAAATGGGAGCATTTGTTACAAGCAGAGGAAAAAAATAGAAACCTCTTATACCTCAGCAAAATCACTAAAGTGCACGTGGAGCCAAAATATAGGGATCACAGATTGTTGTTAATATATTGAATCCAGTATCTTCAACAACCATGATAATTTCTTTTATAATTGAGGCTAGTTTTTGGTAGAAAACTGTACCCTTAACAAAATAAAAAGCTATTGGCTGCTTAAACTTTGCTCGTATACCTTGCAACATAAATACCGATGCATGGTCAGCCAGTTGAGAACCACGTTCTACTTCCGGGCCATAGTCTTCATAACCCTGAACCTTGTCTTTACTACTATTAAAAAAGAGACGCCATTTTAGAGCAATCTCGTCAAATATGTAAAGTAAATAGACCACAGTACTTGTCTTTTTTATCCATATTTACAGTTTTTTTTTTAAATGTTTTGTAACAGATTTGTTTACACCAGTGGAGACTGATATTTTTTTAAAAACATTATGCAACGTTTTTACACTTGTTAGTGACATTAGCTGCTGCAGATATCGAAAGGCTTTTGGTGACATCTTAAATATAGCTAAGGCTCATATTTTATTTTTTTAATGTCCAACGGCGACCGTTGGCCTTTCTTTTTTGATTTGCCAACGCCTACGGAACTATTTCTTTTAAAACGCCTGACTCCAATTTATCTAAAAGATTAGCGCTACGTCTAAGTGCTGTCAGGCTGCATTTTGTTTTTTTCAGGCGCTCCATCAATTGCTTCTCCCTTAGCGTTAAATCTGTAAATAAAAATAAAATATTTTACAAAAGCCTTGCAAGCATTTCTCAGCACACATAACACAATTTAAAATAGCAATAGAACACAAAAATTACTAAAACCATATCGAGGATCGTTTTCAATCTTTCTATTTGTTAATAATATTCTAACATTAAATAAGTTTAAGGGATGTTCCTATATGTAAAAGCCAACTTAGAAAACTAGTTTTAGTTCTGTAACAAATCGGCTACAATGGTTTTAATACATCTTAAGTTTCACCCCCAACCCCTTTTACGTGATTCCGTGTGTGCCTCAACGTG